ATTAATAGTTACCTAATGTAACTTAAGTTCTACGAATAGGTGCGTAGTCCCTTAGCTACGAGCCCATCAGGCCAGCCCGGCTTGGCAGAGTTCAAGAGGGGGTGCGGCCTTGTGCAGGGGCATTTATAGAGGAAGGTGGCTGGTGATTGGAGCAAATTATTTTGATCTCTCTGGCGTCTGTGACCTGGGGGTCACGTGATATCCCACTAGCGAAGTCCTAAGGGACTACGCACCTATTCGTAGAACTTAAGTTACATTAGGTAACTATTAAATATACAACAATTCTCACAGATGTCATTGGTTTCACATCACTCTGGTCTCCTCCACCAATCAGGTAAGCTGCATTCACTTCCATGTCTCCAAACTTGTGGTTGTCCTGTACCCACTGTGCCAGGGCAATGGCACTGCGCCGCGTCTTGGTGAAAATGATCCCTCTAGTCTTGTCTTTTTTAGTACTGAACTCATGGAGGATTGTGGTCCGTAGCTTGGAAAGACTGCCATTCTCATACTCTGGATGTTTCGCTAGTTCCATGAGCTCTTTTTTGTTTTCTAACATGAGGAAGAAAGAAGACAAATCAATGAGAGCAACATGAAAGACATTTGAAGGACATCGAAGGATTCTAAGTATAAGGTTTAAGTTCTTTGAAGCATGTTTGAACTAACAATATTTATCTTCTTTCTCTAAGCTAGGGTACAACTTTGGGGTTTGTTTCAACAGAAAGAGACTTGTCGATTTAAAATGTTGTGGACAAATAGGACCATTCCATGATGTCTTCATCTGTTATATTTTGCATACTTTTAAGAAAAGTGTAAGAGTCACAATCTAACACTTTGGGCTGAGAGCTGAATAAGCAAAAAAAAAAAAGTGAAATCTTGTGATAGGGAGGAACTACTCAATGGGTTTTAATTTAACACTGTTCATTTTTGGTTGTTTGAAAATCACAGCTTTAAAGGAACTTTAAATTAAAGGAACCATCAAAAGGATCTATTAGGACACGTGTGAATATCAGATACCGTCAAACAAAAGGAAAAGGAATCTCTCGGTCTCTGTGATGTTGACATCCTCCCCATCTGGAGAAGTCTTCTTTTTCTTCTCGTTTTCATAGAACGTGTTGAGGAAACTGAAGGCGTCACACATTCGGATCGTGTTACTCAGCTGCAGCCCGGTGTTGTAATGTTTCAGGTGGTGCGCACAGTCCCGCACTTTCTTGTTTTCTTCTTTGACCGCTGTAATTAAACACATTTCTGTTCTGTTCTGCTCTATATAATGAAAAATGAACTTGCTTAGGCTTTTTCATGAGCTTACAAACATAACAAATACAGTCTACAAATGTGTCTAAATATTTTTCAGTGAGTACTAAAATCCATAAAAACTACAGTATACGTAAAAATGAAATATGAAAAGTTTTGTTTTATCACAGCAAAATTATAAAAATGCGACAAACTGCACAGTACGTTATCCACCAGGACGGGGACAGCTGTGCCATATTCATGAGGTGCAAAGGAGTTCTCACTTAAACCATTATTGTTGCATTTAGGGCACATTTATATGTTAGTTCCGTATAAGTATAAGAAAAAGTTCTGACCGTCTCTCTCCTTCTGCACAACCCACTGCTCGTAGGTCTGAGAGCCGCACTCATGGCCGGGGTTCAGATCAGCGTGTGCATGAATGTCATTCATGATTTTCTTGATGACATCACCAAAAGGATCCTAAGCAAAGGCAATCAGTTTCAGGCTCAGGTTAATTTATTTGTACCCATAGGTATATTTGTCTTGCAGTGGACGGACATTGCTTCCAATTCAATTCAATTCACGCACTCAAAAACATATACCAACAACAATAAAACTAAATAAAATTTATAATACAAAGTGCTCAAATTATGTAAAAAAAGACACTGCCTTCCAGACATGACCAAAAAGGAAAAATGGTAAAATGCTCAAAAGTATCATATCAAAGGACAATAATTATTCACATAACTCTAACCTTCGTCCGAGCTTCAATGGTTTCCACGGTTTTTTCCATTTCTTTTGTGAACTCGCCCAGATTTGCAGTCATAATGGTTGAGGCGTCCAGGTTAGCGCAGATCTACAATCATCAACATACCAACATTACTCTTGCTTTACTTAATTCATTTGATTTAAAAAAAAACCTATATTTTGCATTTGGAATTTTTTGTAATTTCCTCCAAAGCCTCCTCCCTATTTAAAATATCTTGTATTATCCTTCACCATGGTTACGTACTCGTAGTATGTGCTCCTCGGTCTTGGACATCTTGGTAGCCCCGCCCACCCCCGGAGAGGCAGTCAGGCCTAGGATCTGAGGCAGGGGCTTGGTCTTCTTCTGCTCCTTCTGCAGCTTCTTGTTCTTGTGCTTTTGGGTCAGAAATCGCATCATGATGTGGTTGTAGACGCCTCCCTTCTGCGTGTGGTGGCACTCGTCTATCACGATCAACGACAGCTCTGAAAATCAGAACAGAAAATATTTTATTATTTTGGAGTTTCGAATTTCTTGCAGCAAAATATACTGGCTAAATAGTGAACAGATTAAATCACCAGATTGCATAACTAACCATGATGACTTTCGGATGTGAGGCAGATTTCCATGATTACACACAATTTTTACAGAAATCAATGAAAAAGAGAAATCCAGACACTTGCATCTGGCTCCTTTATATTTTGGTTACACATTTTAGGTTGGATTACAGAAATACATTGGGATAAGTCTGCTTTTGCATGGAGGGGAAAGCAACGTAAATAAAAAAAGGAAATAATTATGATTTTAGAGAGGAAACATGTCAAAACCTACAGTAAAGGACAAGGAAACAATCAAAAAACTAAAATTTCCTCTGAATCTTTTTCAACAACTCTGCCATGGCATGCTAAGCGCGAACACAAATGCTCCATAATTGACGACACGTGTCAATACGAGTTTATGTGAGCGCGGCCCTGGAGGAACAGAGTATGGAGAGAATGGCAGCTTGATGTAGTGTGGGTGATAGAAGCTCTCTGGTGAATAAGCCGAGCCACACACTGATGGCTTGAACAGACGCTCGGCCTGGAAACTAGGAGGGGAAAATGGCTTTGAGCAAACAGCTGTTCCTCTGCGGTGGACCAGCGAGAGCTCCTGTCAGGTACCACCGGAGACAAGCAAAGAGGCACCCATTCAAAGAGCTGGATATGCCAGCTGGATTCAGTTTATGTGTGACGTCATTGTAACTGAGGGAAATGTGTTAAAATAGCACATTTTAGTTTACAATTCATTTTGAGGCGTTTACTCACAATTTTTTTCACTGTGCAATGAAAAATGGGTATATTTTAAAAGTTACGTACTGTGGTTCAAGAAGTAGAGTCTTTATTTGTGCTTTCAACCAAAATACAGTGGACAATGATCCCAAACACACCGCTCATAAAAAAGGTTTGCACCCTGCTCTAGTATGTAAGTATGTAATAGCCTGAATGTGTGATTAAAACTCACCACTCAAATGGACCCCTTCATCCTCTCCGCTCACAGACCTCTCTAAGTAGTTCTCCAGTATCTGTGCCGTACACACCACCACGTCATACTTCTTGACGATCTCTGTGAAAGAGATTTTGAGTTGCGAGTTTCCACTGACTCTCTCCACTTTGTACGGCTTCAGGTATTTGGAGAACTCTTTAGAATAGTGCTGCTCCACCAAAGGCACCTGAACCCAGAGAAAGCACACTTTGCATCAAGGAAGCACCTTCACACACACTCCCTCATAAAGACACAGTGTGGAGAGGACAGAACTCTAAATCCAAATGAATACCACCACCATGGGCATCTCCAAGTGTAAGAGCTACAGATTTAAGGTCCCAGTATATTCTTCTGCACAATTCCAAGTAAATTTTATTTGGCTTTTGGCTGTAATCTTCCACAGTACAGCATAAAATGAATCCTAATATAGAGTGACCTGATATTTTTTCTTTACAAAATCTTATAATCAATATAATTATTGTAATGTAATTCCTTATGTTTCTATTTGTTTTGTAATCATTTTTATTTAGATATGCATAAGAAATCTGGATACCTTCGCAATGTCATTTTTTTCTCTCACTTATTTTAGGTCAGAAAAGACATTTGAGTATCATTGTCTGTAGTTTCTTTCAGACAGTAAGAAAACCCCAGTTCCCACGGCATGAATGTGCAGTACACACAAACTAGCCTTGCACGTTATGTAGTCTGCGGCCTGGGGGAGCATTTACCCCTGAACTACAAAGTCACAGAATAATTACAGTTTTCTCTGGCCACGTTTACTTTCTTGGCCCAGTATTGTTCGGTAGTATTATGATTCAACTGTGACTCAAACGTTGGCCCATCCCTGTTGTTTGGAGAAACCTTCTTCATTGCAACCAAATGTGCACCAATGAATGTTTTAATCCTAGAAGGGAAAAATATACATGAGGCAGACTGTGTCAAACTGAAATAATAGTGTGTAATTTGAGGCGCACTGACCCACATGTGCAGTGAGAGATGTACAAGGAAAAGGTTGGTTCATGTGACATCATACCAGTGGTTTTAAAATACATGATAAAGCACTGTATTATGGCGCATGTACCATATGTACTTCCCACTTTGACAGCAGCTGTATGTGCTCTCTCCTGCACTACATTTTAAACTGAAGTGAAAAGTACAATTTTACAGTTGGCTGAAAAAGACGAGAGGTTTATTTTTTAAAGCATGTTTAAAGTGGCATCTTGCCTGAATGGTTTTAGTTTAAAGTGAATGTCAGTTACTTTTCAAATTGTGGAGAAAGAACATTTTCCAAAACCGGCACTGGCCCATGCTCACCCTCAAAGATTCTTGATTGGAATGGGTTCAAATAGTCACCATTGGCCTAACTCTTCTCCTCCAGGACTTCTTACTGGTGGTGGTTTTGCTGTATTAAATCTAGACCACCTGTACTGCTGAGATCTGTCCTGCTCCACCCAGCGGCTACTCCATCTCTGCTGCTGTGAGCTGAAGTGCTGTTGCTTATATTACTATTGTTAGCTTTTTGTCTATCTATCTATCAATCTAGAATTATTAAAAAATACTTTTCAATGTAGCATCATGCAAATCAAGTATTGAGATTTGAGATAGACATTCCTGCATTGTGTAGTGTAGCAAAAACTGCCATGAAGTTTGTAGCCTTTTAATTCTCTGTCTGCAGAAAATACTCCTTGCATTTGATGGTGTGGTTAATAAACAAGCCCATATGCTGATAGTGCATTATCTGGCAATCACCTTATTGACCAGGACTATGACTTTAGCTGGAAGTCCCTGCTTTTTCCGCTGGTCCAGATGCTTCTTGGTGATGTACACGGCCACTCTGGTTTTACCACTGCCTGTAGGGAGACATATGATGATGTTTTTCCCTTCCAGGGCAGGTTGGGCCACTTCCATCTGATAATCTCGAAGAACAATCCACTCTCCCTCCGAGTCACCAGCCGCTGCCTCTGAGTCAGCCTCCTCTGGAACGCACACCACAAACACACTGCTGTTAGTGTTTGTCCGTCAATGGACAACAGAATGTCTACAATTGTGTGATCATAAATAATCTAAATCTGAGGTCTTTTTAGAAGTGTGATTTTGCTCTGGAGCGTCCAATATCAACAGCAAATAAGTACAATGCAGGCCTTCAAGCTGTTTTCAACGGCTGACATGTTTGGTTACACAAAAGCCAGCTAAACTGGTGGTTTATTTTAGGCTTCACTTGTCACGTCATTGTCATGGATTGTCTTCTAATCTTCAGTTCAGTTTCACTATTTAGTAATTTTTCACAAGTTGATTATCAAGAAGAACAGGTTAGGTGAGTTAAGACAATCCTTTTCATTATTATAAGTGCGTGGTTCTATGTAAATAATGACATGTCAAGTAAGTAAAATGCCGTGGCTTCATATTCTCATCTTTAACAACATTTTAAGAATTTTCCACCATTCATGTTACTTTACTGACTTTTTAACAACAGAAAAAAACACATTTCAGCGCAAAAGAGGTAAAATTGCAAAGGTTCATTCAAATGATTATCGCCACAGTCGCCACAATTTCTCACATTTCTATTATTACGTTTCCAATAATTACATTTTTATACTTTTTAAAACAATGTCAGATAATGTTTTTTATCGCTCTCAGGAGGACAGAAAGACTAAACAAGCAACACATTAACTTGTCAAACCACATATTCTACAGTGAATCATCAAATTAACATAAAGCCTTCACAATCATACCATTGCAAAGCTGGGGTACCTAACTTTTTTGCACTCAAAACAGTTTGGTTCTATCTCTTGTTTCCACATGCATATTAATTTGCCATCTTTAATGGAACAAGAAAGAAACACCCACACTCAACAAATCAGCTCTCAGCCCTAAGTGTCAATTAGAGACTCACAGAGCTCTTTCTGACACGTAAAAAATGTTTGATCTTACTGAAAAACACATATTATTTCTTAGCTTTCTCCTGCATGGACCACCATCTTCAGAAGGCGACGGACTTTCTCAACGTTGTTTGCATAAAGCCAGACTATTCAGTTTTGGGTCAACATTTTTAATCCAAAGTCTTCCATAATAATACATAAATTAAACATGCGTCAATGTTATGTTAAACCGTTCTGTCACAATGCTCTAAAAGGTTACAGCAATATTTTGTCAATGAGGCAAATTACAAACCAGAATATTAGCTCAAATAATAAAAATCATAATTCTAAACCAGGTATAGCCATTATTTACAAAAGCATGTCTCTAGATAAGCTTTAGGAATTGGGCATTAGTATTTAGTTGTTTGAGAAATATTTAGGTTGAGCTGTTGTAGGTTGCTCAAGGATCATCAGTCATCCTCTGTCTAGGCCTCTGCTGTAACCCCTCCTCCATCCATTTCCAGACCAACTTTAACATTTCCTGCTTTTAGGCCATATACAACCCCCCACAACGTGCAGACAGTTTTTAATTGTCCCCCTAAGACGCCATTCAAAGTTCAAATCCAGCAACTACGCAAAGTCTTGTTTAACAAAATCCCAAAAAGGGATTTAACAAAGCTTTCCAAACATCGAGAGGAGAAATTGCTGCCTTTGCACAGCCCCAGGAGCTTCCACATGCTACGCTTATTATAGTGTGCACGGTGCCATTCTGGTGACTCAAACCACAGGAATCAGGCCTGTGCCCAAAGATGCAGCAGTTGTTGTATTTTTTGGAGTTTTATTTTCTGTTTCCAGGATATAGGTTTTATGGCGATTCCCTATGGGTGAGATGAAAGGGAGTGTCATCTTGTGTAAAAATAGTCCAAATCCAGGTTGAAGGCAGTTCTTTTTGCCTGTGTGCATACAACTGAAGGATTGTATCTTTACTCTTTTTAATGCGCAGTGGTTGTTTATGATTTCAATCTCTAATTTTTATGTGATGGGGCTGTGCAGCACTTTGCGTTACCATGTGTAGGAAAAGCGCTCTAAAAATAAAGATTGATTGATTGATTGTGAAAAGATTGATAAAATTATGCAAAGGGATATTTTTGGCTATATTGCCCCGGCCAGAACTAAAGTTATTTCTAAAACATACAGAAGAAAAGTAAATATAGTTCTTTGACAATTAAATCAATATAATTACTGCTGATTCAACGACTACTAAAAACGTTATCTATAACAGGTTCATTAATCCCAGCCCACCCACTTCAGGTTGGGTGGGGTAGAACAATGAAGGTACAGCATGGGTCCCCATCTCCACTCAAGAGGGAATCTTGCGGGTCATAGAGGACTGGTCTGGACGCAGAGTCTGGCTGATGGAGAGAAGCCTGAGCTAGTGAAGGAGTTCATTGAATAGAGCCAGTCGGGCTCAGGCCCTGTTTCCCGCGAGGACGTGTGATGGGGGCAATAATTAGGTCAATCCTAAACTGTGTTGGATTTTTTCTTGGTGAATCTCAATTATATAAACCTTCAATTAATGACTTATTCTGTTTAGATGCCTATATATATACCTTCTTTTTTTTTTTTGAGCTTCTCTGCCCAACACAAGGGAAAAGTAGATATGGGGAACAAAAAGGGGACAAAAAGTAAAGTGTGATACATGCCAACCAGTGCAAAATATAAATACAATTCAACACTTGAATAAAAAATGTATCACAAAAAAAAACCTAAAGCTGTATTGCATTCTCAAATTGCATTGATTTGAACATAGTTTCTGTACACATATGGAAATCTTAACATTGGTCTTTGAATTGTTTTGTTTAGATGTTGATTTTGTTATTGATGTGGTTTACGTACCTTCCTAGAATCACCATAAATTATTTTGTAATATACACTGTCGCTGTACACTGGATTATATCAATGATTGTTATTGCCCATGTGTTGTAAATTGCACTATGCATAAACAATACATGACATGGTTGATAAGACATTTTGTGTCTGATTGTATGTTTTTTGTGAAGGACTATAGATTAGTATTCGCATGATGCTAAACCTTTTTATCCCTTTAAAATAAAAAACAGAACAACCTGAATGTTAACCTGAGAAACGCATAGTTACGCTGTATGGTTATCGACGTTTCATTGACGCTTCCATTCTCACATGTAACATAAGCTTTGGATTATTTACTCTCAAACCCGTGGGTGTGCCCATGCTTTCACTGCCACTTCATTATCCCCCTTTTGCTCCAAATCAAAAGAAAGGACAAATTGCATACGTTTCACTTTTATGTTGCTCATATTCTTTTACAATCTTTGGCATGTGGTTTGAATTTGCAGCCGTGGCCACGTTGTCCTCTCTAACCTCCCTCAGCCTAATCATGGAACACACATGGAACATATTCTTTGGTGTGGCGAGCCAGGATGGACAGTTTCCAATGGCAACACATTCCAAGCCGCCTTCAGAATTCTCCTAACAGTATATGGCATCTATCGGTTCAAATGTGTAACCGAGCCTATGGTATGTTACCTTCTCCTTTGGATGGGTCAGTGTCCTTTGTAGGTTCCTCCAAGTCATCCTTTTCACCTTTGTATAAATCTGAAATGAACATTGATGAAGTTAGTAGAAGCAAAGGGATGGAACATACAAAGCAGGTGTCTGCAGCAGGCGATATATCCCAATACTAAACCAGAAGGCGATTGTCTGCACAGAAAAAGTCTGTACATACTGGAGACAAAGAAGTTCTATAAGTTCTAGATGGGGTTTATGCTTTCATGTACTCTTAAACTGATGACTTAAGTAACTATTGGTGTTATTTGTTATGTGCCAGCCTCAGGTGAAGGAGCTTGAGACGGTAAGTAAGTAATCTTTATTTATATAGCACCTTCCACAGAACAGAGTCACAAGGCGCTTAACAATGGTGTGCATTTGTCTCTCCCCACCCCACACAGAGATGGGAGAGGAAACCTGAAGGAAACAATCCTTATAACAATCCTTCGCCTTCTAAACACATGCTGTTCATGTAGGATAATTGTGGAGAGGTTTTACAATATAGAACTTTTTTGAGAAGTTGTGCCAAGCCCGAGACAGATCTTGGTCTCCGTGGTGACAGAAGAGAACAGCTACAATTATTCATACTGTAACAGTTGTCTCATAATGACTGTATTCTATTCATCGTTCAACTTTATTCTCATAATATATTGCCTTTTTGTGGAAATGGACTTTATTCTCATAATATTTAAAGTTAAGATATCATTAGTTTATTCCTGAGCCATGTCATACAAAATAATGATGATATATACACCGTTTCATAAGTGGTTGGACGAAGCATGTATGGCTCCAATAAATGTGTAAAAAACAAATACACACAAAGACATTTTGAAATGATTTCTTTTACATCCCTCCTTGGTGGAATCCCCTTGCACATTTACTGCAGTCCAGAATGATAATCTGGTTTATTCCTGCCACCCAAAATTTCCAAATCCAAAAGTACATAAAAACGTGAGTATTATGCTTCTGTTCCAGAAGTTGTACCACCTCAACACAGCCGGTTTCCATTACTGCCCCATTTATTTCCAAACAGATAACTTTTCCTTTAATATTTGTGTGCATCTATCAGCTTGAATTAGCTCACCACTGCCAACGTCTGTTCCAGCTCAGAGACAGGAGAGTAGAATGAAAACAGTGTTGGATTACCCTCAAGGAAAACCCCAGTTACTTACTGTTACTAAGGTTCTATGAATGTGTTGCGAAGCCCTTTAGCCTTTGCGCCCTGAGAAGATAAAACGATCAACCGCTCCAATCACCTTGACATCCTGGCGTAGGCCAGACCCCTAAATAAGGGCCCTGCACCACAGCTCTTCTCCTTTCAAACTCAGCCGAAGAAGCAAGGGCAGGCCTGCTGGGCCTGAAGCTAAAGGGCTTTGCAACATATTCATAAAACCTTAGTTACGTTAAGTAACTGGGGTTTCTATTTCATATGTTGCTTCAGCCCTTTAGGCTTTGCTATTGCATAACATAGCAAAGCCAAGAACAATGTACTCCCAGCAGGCATGAACTCCGGGGATTGGAGCAAACCTGGGAACGCCCATACGGCACCAAGCCATCAAAGGCGGATGCAGAAACGCCAGTGCATCCCCAACCTGCAAAGCAGGGAAGGGGAAGAACCAAACCTGGGCAGGCAGGTAAAACTGCACAAAGGTCGAGGAGGAGGACCAGGACGCCGTCCTGCAGATCTCCTCTACTTCAGTGACGCAAAACAATGCCAGAGAAGCAGCAACCAACAGCTGAGTGGCTACGCGAAGCGTGACGACCGCCCTGCCTTGCTCCAGCAAGGACTGGAGAAAGGCCAACACCACCTTGATGGAAAGCGTAGAGAGGGCCCGTTGGTGGACATGAGCGAGAACCAGACTGGGCACTGTGCGTTCTCTGCACTTTTGAACCGGTCGACAACCGGGGTCCCAAACCGGAGCCGGGGTGGCTGCCACTCATCCTCTGCTGGCCAAGAGTCCACTCTCTTCTACGTACTAGACCCAGGGATCCCCGAGGCTCTGAGCGGTGCGGGAAGAGAGGTCGGCTCCGGGGTGCCCTGCTCTGCTCCGCGTAACCCGGATGTAGTGCTGTGGGGCGAGGAGCCCGCGGGTGCGGAGATGCTGGGACAGCTGCGCTGATGTCTTGGACGCTGTCTCCCTATGCTCCACGTAGATAGAGGGAGGTGCACCATGAGCGAGCCCATCCTGAACATCACTCAAGAGGGCATTTAGTAAACCACTTCTTCTATCACGCTCCTCTACCCAGGGAGTGCGGAACAGGCCACACAGGCATAGCTGTCCTCTGACGCCAACCCAGGCAGAAGACACAGGACGTGTGGCGGTCAGCTTTGGAGATGCTGCTGGGCACGAGTCGCAGATCTGCAGCCTGACACCGGAGGGTGACCATCCTAACACTAGATCACAAGCTGAGAGAGAAAGGAGAAGAGCTCTGGTTCAGGGCCCTTGTATAAGGGACTGGCCTACGCCAGGACGTCAAGGTGATTGGAGCATTCTATCTTCTCAGGGCGGGAAGTGGTGCTTCCGAGAAATATGCAATAGTGAAGCCTAAAGGGCGGAAGCAACACATGAAATAGAACAGGAAGTCAACACATCCATAGTGAGCCAGTGTTTTTGTTACATTTGCTGAAACAGAAGGAAAACGTGCAATAACGTTGTGGAGATGTATGTTTGAGAACAATGTTGATGAAAAGGTATTAGCACATTTCCACATTGCATCCATGTTACATTTGTAATATTTTGTAAGTTTTTTAAGTTTCATAGACTGTCTTTAAAAAATCTACAGTATATGGTCTTTGATAAGCAACTTTTTGACTTGATGGACATATTGTTGCATTATTTATGGCTCTTAAACAGATCTTTTGGGACAATTTTACTAAAGATAGGGCCTCTGTCACATCGGTTTCCTCTAATAGCACCCCCCCACCATATCTCCTTTACATAATATCACTGAATGTTCTTTGCTTTCCAAAGACATTTGTCTTTGCCATTTTCTCATAACAACTAACTAGAAATTAAATTCAAAACAAATCTTGATTTAGATAAGACTTATAATGGCTGTTACCTGGTGTGTCATCAGAGCTGGGGTCTGTCGCAGAGGGAGGGTCTGTCGCAGAGGGGGGGTCTGTTGCAGAGGGGGGGTCTGTTGCAGAGGGAGCGTCAGTAGCAGAGGGGGGGTCTGTTGCAGAGGGAGGGTCTGTCACAGGGCTCTGTTCTGGACTCTCATTTCCGGAAGTCTCATCTCTGCGTGAGGGGCCTTCTTCCACTACAGACAAGATCATAAAAAGGGTAGATTCTGTAAACATTCCACAAAACAGCCTACACGATTACACTATTATTACTGGATTTATTTTTTGCAAGGTGATACCATAAAACGAAATGAATGATGAAGTCCCACTTTTGAGGAGGTAATGGGGAGGAGCAGAGTTGTAACTCGAGCAGAAGCTATTGGGCGCAGCAACATGCAGACTGATTGCAGCACAGTTGTGTATCTGAGTTGATTGGTAGCTTGAGTCCTTCTAGTTTGAGCTTCTAATTTGGCTTCATGATTCTTACTTTATACTGTCAGTTAAAAAAAAAAATGTTTTCACATGTTATTAGTGCCACAGAAGTCAACTTAAAGAATATCATTCATTCATATAACAAGCCTGAGCTATATTCACCTTTATGTGGAAAATTCAAAGTCTCCAAATGAAATTCTAATGCTCTGTGTTAAGGTTTTCTTTACTTTACTGACGGGTGGGATTAAATACGTTTTTTTTCCTTCCCACTCCTTTTCGAGTATCTGCAAGTGTTTCTCATGTGTATATAATAAATATAATGTTGTATTATGTAAATGTGCTCAGGGTTATTTATACACAATTTAGATATTCTACTTTTGTTTCTTGTACACTTATTGGCTCAAAATAAACATGGCTTACTTAACATTTAGAACTTGGGTCTCTGCCCGTATATAGAGAAGAAAGCTGGTAAACTGAGCAGGTTTCACTAAAATTAGAAGCAACTAAACCATAATAATCGGCTTCTTCCATATACTCACAGTCCCGTTTGTCCGTCCCTGTGATCAGCTTGTACAGAACCTTGTTTTTTATATATAGAATATCCACAAATGTGGAGTACCAGTTTCCAGGACCCTTTATGATCTGCTCCAAAAGTGTATTTGCTTTTTTCCGGGGTTCTTGCTGGTCTTGGATCTACAATGGAGAAGGAGAAAAATGGAATTCAATTATTTCTGAGAATTTAATCAACTCAAGTCAATTTATTTAAGTAATTGTGTATTTGAAGATATATTCGAAGACAGGCCTCTTCTCTCACAATGTTTAAAACCAGGTTAAAAACAGTTCTGTTTAGCTGTGCATACAACTGAGGGATCTTAATTTATATATTTTCTTTTTAATGTAAGGCAAGGCAAGTTTATTTATATAGCACAATTCATACACAAGGCAATTCAAAGTGCTGAACAAAATAAGAAAAAATTAGAATCATAAATAATCACAGAACATTAAAAAGAAAGCTAAAATTAAAGCCGCAAGCGGCGTCGAACGGCCCTCGCCGCACCGCGCGACCCCCGCACCACCCCGTGCAAAGCCGCCCCGCACTACGCCGCACCACACCGTAAGACGCAGCACAGCATAGGAGGTGGCGCCGCCGTGTGATGATTTTTTTCCCGTAGCCATAGAAGAAGTTAGTCAAATTGTAATGAATATGATAAGTAGAGCTGGTTTGGCTCCCAATGTAAACTTTGACTCAGTCTTTAGGGGGCGCTAATGGGCCAATTTTAAATATTTCACTTTCACCTGACCTAAACCCTGGAGTTGAACAATGGATTCAAGTTTAATGCAAATCAGTCTTTGTTTGTGCAAACGCGAAAAAAATTAATGTTGTCAAAAACGGCCAAAAAAACCCTCACATTTTGCCACTCCGCTGCTCAAACAACGTTTCACTGATTAAAATTCCCTGAAGTCATTTTGAAGGTAAATGTGTTGAGATGATTTAGAAAAAATTTGAGGCCAATCGGTGAAACGGCCATGGAGGAGGCGCTTTCCAACCGACGTGTATGAAAATGATTGTTTTTCATTTTTCCATTTTGCTATGAAATTTATGGGCTTCCTGTGCAAATAGAAGGTTGTGAAAAACAGCCAATAAACACTCACATTTTACCGCTCCGCTGCTCAAACAACGTTTCACTGATCAAAAATCCCTGAGGTCATTTTGATGGTACATGTGTTTAGACAATGTGGAGTGATATGGAGGCCAATCGGTGAAATGGCCGAGGAGGAGTCGCTTTCCAACCGACATGTATGAAAACTTTTGCTGTTCATTTTTTCATTTTGCAGTGAAATTTATGGGCTTCCTGTTTGTCAGAGGGCGGGGCCATAATAAAAAATGTTTCACGTCTTCCTCAAGTGTACCGAATTTCATGGCTCTACGACAAACTTGACCTCTGAAACTCCCATTGGCTGTTGTAGGTGGCGCTGTTCTGGCATTTTTTGAGTCCCATAAAAATAAACATCAAAATATCAAATTTTTCACCAGGTCTGATGTTTGGGCAAAATTTTAAAACTTTTGATGCAGGTTCAGGGGGTGAAATTAAGGCTTAAAGTGCAGAATTTGACATCTCTCGAGCAAAAACAATAGGCCCTTTCCCCGTTCGGGGCTCGGGCCTAAATATAAAATGCCTCAGTTGTATGCACAGCTAAACAGAACTGTCTTTAACCTGGTTTTAAACATTGTCATTGAGGAGGCCTGTCTCACATCTTCAGGAAGATTTTTTTAGCAGCATGAATCTGAAAAGCAGCCTCCCCATGTTTAGTTCTGACTCTGGGCACTAACAGGAGTCCAGTCCCTGTGCTCCTCAGAGTCCGGGCTGGTTCATATGGGACTAACATGTCACTAATATATTTTGGTGCGAGGCCATGGAGAGACTTGTACACAAGCAGAGCTGTTTTAAAGTCTATTCTCTGAGCCACAGGAAGCCAGTGCAGAGACCTGAGGACTGGACTAATATGGTCGTACTTCCTGGTTCTAGTCAGGACTCGAGCTGCTGCATTTTGAATGTACTGCAGCTGTTTTACAGCCTGTTTGTACAGGCTGTAAAAAATGTACTGTTATTATTTATGATTGTAATGCTATCTTATTGTTTTCAGCACTTTGAGTTGCCTTTTGTATGAAATTGTGCAAATAAACTTGCCTTGCCTTCATGTGGAAAAGGACCATAGCGTGTAAAATGTAGTTTTTTACATTTTTCAAAGTTTATCTGAACTTTCTATTCCATTCCATTTAAGAAATACCCCTCAGAAATAAGTAAACGTAATCTACTATCTCTCTTGCTTTCTTTCTCTTTCTATAACATTCAAAACACCAGTGCGCCATCTCGTGCCTATAAACCGCATTACAACTGAATCTAGGTTACTTACGGTTTGTCTGTCTACATGAGAAATAAGACCCTGCGCACAGCACTCCACACTTAGTTCGTCTGCATCCAGAGCCAAATGGTCCTTAAAAGTGGGGCAAAGAATCCAAATGAGCTGTGTGTTCATTTCGTCCTCTGTCTCCTCCTCTGGACTGGGGATCTGACCATCCACATAAGCCGCTGCCTTATCGCACCCCGCATGCTTCAGCGCGTTCACAAAAGTCCTGAACCAGCCGGGCTCTTTGGAGGACTTCTGTTTCAGGACTTCTGTGATGAGTAAATTCGCAGCAGCCACTTCTCCAGCCACGCCTTGGATCTTCTGCTTTTGTTCCACGTCGAAGAAGTGAATGTAGTCCAAGACCTGGTCCACTTTGATACGCTTACTAATCTGCGTCCGAAACGTTTCAATGAGACCTTTCCTCGCCGCGTCAGGGTCGGGACATTCCATATTCTACACACAGTTGTTGAAGAGCGCACACAGTTTGGAGCAAATGGTTTCAAATGCTGGGATGAACCCGGACACCTTACTGCCAAGTCACTGTCTCCCTTATCCACAACATGATAACTTTCACTTTCGATTCTATGTAAAAGAAAGACACCATATCTATCTGACCGCTAGGAGGCAGAGTTGAGGCATATACAGTATTAATGTTGGATCTACCAGTGCTTACCAATCAAACAACACTTTTCTACTGAGGAATATATAATAAAATAAACTGGAATGTATTGTTGTAGACCAAAATGCATTAACAAACACAATTCATTTACTATTCTATGATACAGAATCAAACCCACCCCATGCAGAATTGCCAATCTCTCTCTGAGATGTCATGTCATACAAAAGAACCAGCACACAGGAGTGAATGTGTCTTCATTTATTGCTCCAACAGCTTCAGAACAAACATGATATACTACTGTCACTGTTAGGAGGCTTCCGGTCCGACTCCAATGCTAGAAAAAATACACATTTTTCATTCTAGCATTCTATTACTCTTGTCTTTGTTCAATGTACACAACCAGGTGCTGCTGATATGACGCATTTGTGTGTAGAGTTAGTCATAATAAATAAAACATTTTGTTAGGATGTTTTGTATAGGCACAAAACCATCTCATAAGTTTCGTATGTACACAAGTATACTCTTTTTTTCTCAAAGTTTCTAGTAATGATATTAATAATTACATCCTATAAAATTAAGCTGACATCTTTTTTTTTTAAGAATTTGCTACTTTGGGCTCAAAAGCAGTGCAAAAGAGAACACATACAAAAGACATGCACTGGTCAGTTGTAGCATCTTGCTTGTTACCGTGACAACAAGCAGGTATAGGATGCGTCCGTTGGCTTATTGAAATTCAGGTGCACATCAGTGAGCCCAGTCATAATGCACATATTGTAAGTAACAGTAGTAGTACAGTGGAACATGGACAATTAGCACATGGTTCAAAAGTTTGTATATTGTATTTTGCCTATTTTGCCTTTGTTTTAATCTATACGAGAATGGTTTACAGTCCACTTAGAAAATCTTTTAAAAAATCCTTAGATGTTTTACTTTTTCCAAGCTGTGAGCCAATCATCCACATTATAAAAAATACAGGATGGACATATCTCACTTTCATGTATTAGTTTCACAAGTTGAATTACAGAAATAGACTTATGAATGATAGTCTAATTTTCCAAGTTTCACCTGTAGTTGTAACAGCAGTAGTAGTCGTAGTAGTAGTAGCAGTAGTAGTAGTAGCAGTAGTAGTCGCAGTAGTAATAGTAGTAGTAGCATATTGCAGAGCTGTGTCCATAACCCCTGAGTCACGCGTCAGAGAGGCGTATACAAACACATGAAAACACCAAACAGTTCAAACATCTCGTCTTTAAAGTGGCAGGAAAGAGTCGGTACAAACTTAGCTACAGTTTGTGTTGGTAGATTCTAAAGATCCAGCTTTATCCAAACCGTTACAGATATATACGTGAAAGGGGGTAGGCCTTAGTCCCTGCCCACTCCTTTTGAGCTCTGCTTCAAAAACAAAATATATAAAACATATTTGAAACATGTTACGTACCATCTAAGTGCTCAAATAAAAGAATAAATAATTATAATAAATAAATAAATATAGCTTCATCTTGTAATATCTTCAAATTATAATTCTGTAGCAATGACAACATGGATTTTCATTGAAAGTCCTAAAAAATCCCTTAAAATGCATATGATGTGTGGAATAAAGTGAGGAAACTGGAGAATATCAGCTCTAAAGAATACAATTTTAAACTTGTCAATGTAAAAAAAAAATCCTGTCATTCAGAAAGGCAGCCTACGCGGAGTCATGAAGCCCAGAGCAAAATGAGAAATGTTGTTCAAAAGTATTTCAATACTTCAATATGAACCAGGCTGGTATTCCTGACTGCCATGTGCACGTCAAACACCACGCTGAGAAACACCATGGATGTAAAAGAAAAGCTTTGTGAGAAACATAAATCTGTTTCCATTTTGCAGCAAGTTAAAGCAGCCACATTACCAACACTCGGCCCCTTTTCTGCCTCAACGACCGGAGTCATTTCACAATCATACGGATACAGTATATACGTGTACAGGGGGCTGAACTGGCAACCTTCTGGCCAGTGGGCAAACGTGATCGACTGAGCTTGTGTTAAACTTTGCTGATCAAAAAAAATGAAAATACAGTCTGATCAGTTATAAGATTATTTTTTTACTTTTTGTGATTTGCATTTTAGTTTGCACAATCTTCAGATGTTCATTTGCATAAGGTCCAGTGTATGATAATCAACGTAAGTCATGAACATAAATTATTATAATACTAATAATAATCATTGGCATGAGTTTTCAACATGCACTAGCATCTTTTAATGTGCTTGTTTCCATGGAGATGTTACAGTAATGCATTGCCTGAAATGTTCCACAGTGTAGCATTAAACTTCTCTGAGTGATAAATTAAAGAAGGTAAAGCAGACAACTGGCCAAATGACAGGCCAGATCAAGCTCATTCACAATAACAATAAGAATGCATGCAAAAACAAAATCTAAAGTGCAGGCAAAATTATCACATTGCCATGGAGACAAGCAGAAGCTGGACTGTTCCGCCAAAAAAGTTCAATAGTGCACCTTTAAAAATATATTATTTGAGGTAAATCATAATCTGTAGTATCTAAAATCCCCACAAGCTTAAATTGTAAATATTGAGGTCCATGTAGAGAATTCTCAGATGTTGTGACGGTCTAATGACCTGATTCCATCTGGTGTAAAATATTACAGACAATTTTACGAACACGAAGTCTCTCCGACAGATCCAGTGTAAGGTTTCTGTTACAGTAATGTAACCGATGCTTCTATACTGAAAACTGCAGCACTTATTATTATTCCATCACTGCAGTAAACAGTATTATATTCACATGCATGATTATTAATAAAAAAAGTACTTCTAGAATACCAAGCAGAGAAAAGAACAATACAGATGCTGTGCCAGCATGCCGATTCAAAGTCTCCGCACGGTAGCTTATGCGCCGCTATGGGCCTGTGCTGTCTGAGTCTGAGGCTGGTCCTTGTGGGTGCGGGGTAATGTCGCTATGAGGCGGTGAGGAAGAGGAGGGCAGGATGAAGGCCGGGTGAGTGTGGAGGGACATGGGCTGCAGCTGCTGAGTCTCTGTTTGCTGCTCGCTGTAGCTGTGTCCGAGCAGAGCGGTAAGGCTGTCCTCTGACGCTGTGGTCAAACTGGACCCAGCACAGTCTTTGGCTTCACCGGGCGCCGGCTCCGCTCTGTGGGACGGGCCCTGGAGGAAACACAGAGACACATGTTCTGGTTGAGGTATACTTCATCTTTATTTGACCCATCCTGCAATGTCATGAGGGCAGCAGTGTCCAAAAGTTTTAGTGAGAAGATCACTTGACCAGACTCCTCCAGAGGCCAACAACCTGCATTGTAAACAGTTTGTGAGCTTTAAAATGAGGTATGACATGTCTATATTGATTCACATTTGATGGTGCTGAAGTTGGCCGAATGAAAGAGATACTTTTTCACCAAATATAAGTCAACGACTGGACTCCACAGGTTTGGAGCTTTATGACAAAGTATAGCGTATAGCCTATATTGGAGGAGAGGAAGTTGGTTGGCTGATACTATAAAATTATATGTCTGATCTTAATGGCTCAATTGCCCACATAGAATGATATCAAGGAACGTAGTTGGCCCACATTGGATATGCCTGCATTAGCGCATTGCAGGTTGGGTCAAGAAGGTATGCGTGGAAGTGTGGGAAATGAAATGAGAAGTAAGCATGGCTAGATAAGTAGATTGTAGGTGTAATTGTACACCTGAACTTGTAGTTGTAATTGAGAATAATTGAGTTTTGACAGTGCATTCAGGATACTAATTTTGAGTGAGTAAATTGGTAAAACATCTGGTAATGTTCTTCTAATCAAGACACAGAAGTACACAAGTACAGAACAAGTCAAAATAAATGTGTTCCCCCTGATAATCCCATGGAACAGGGATCACCCCGAGTTTTGACATGTCATTTTTTACCCTTACTCGGCCTCAATATCTCTCGACCCACAGACTCCAATAGATATGATTTGTTCAGAGGATTTTACATTTTGAAGACTCTTTTCATGTCATGTTTATTGAACAAAAAAGTAAGGTTTCCCTAGATTTAAGATCCAAGTATATTGTAAATACATGCTGTGTTCTCTCATGTTGTTGACTAACCTGCTGCCCTGTATGGCTGAACAAGTGGCTGGTGGACAGGGGGGCAGGCTGGGGCTTGGTGGTTGGTTTGTGGTACTCAGGGCTGGCTGTGACTGTGCTGTATGCAGGGGGTCCAGGGGTGGGCTGTCTCTGCAGCAGCTGAAGGATGGTGTGGATGTCTGTCATCAGCTGAGTCTCCAGCCTGAAGAACATCACAAGAAACTCAAAGGTGACAAAAGTTAAGGCAGAGGCAGCTTGGACAACATATTGTTTGTTTTTATTTTTAGTAACAAACGGTGACAAACAAGTTTAGAGATCACTCTTTCAGTAGACTTGGAATGATGTATGGACAACAAAACAACAAGTGATTTTTTAAATGTTGATTGAAATAACTATAACAAGTTCAAGGCAGTATATTTACTGCCTGAACCGCATTCTTCACATTCAAAAGGCACAAACAAATCATAATTTTCCCCAAAACAATTTAATAAATAAAATACATGTATCTCCTGCGTACATCATGCAACAATTCTAAACAACAATCTTTGTCTTGTGTCTGCCCAGGTTGAATTGTATGCACACACACACACACACACACTGCTCGACTCGGCTAAAAAACTACAAGTCTAATCACATTAATCTGATTTATTGCCCAGCCCTAGAAACATATTTGATTTCTGATGAAAACTCAACCAAACTAATGTTCGCCACACGTTGTCTCTGTAACAACACTACTCTCTCTGACCACTAGATGGCGCTGTTCCTCCACTAGCTGTGTGGACGCCTTGTACAGAGCGGCTCAGACTGAGGTCTTTCTTGTGATAATTGTCTTGGTGTGGAAGGTGTGAATACGGTTCTGTGGTGGAAATGGTCTCATCACGCTCATGTGGTCAATCTAATTATGATCTTCGTCTAAATTTAGAGGTGTGGAAAATAATAGTTTTACTGAATAATGTGTAATAGCCGTGTAATCCATTAGTTTACCCTGGGCAGTTGGCTTACTTCATGCATGACAAGAGAGATATTGCTTGCTATTCATTCATATGGCAAAAATATATACAAGGACTACATCAGCTTAGTATTGACTGGAAATAGCTATTTTTAAGCTGTTTTTGGTGAATCATTATCCTGTGGCTTAAGAATTCAGTTGTATACACTCAAGTTTGTGAATGTAAGAGGACATTTTGCCATAGACAACCAACTGAAACATTTTATTTGGATAGTTAATACAAAATTGTGCTAATACGATGCATGCTCGTGATACTGATAACTCCATCCATCCATTTTCTACCCTTTAATCCATTTCTGGGTCAGGGGGGTGGCAGTCAGAGATGCCACCCAAGTCTCATAGCACCAGCCCCTCACTGACCCTCTGCAGGTGGTGAGTCCACAGGAGGACGGCTGCTCTCTGAGTGTGAGCATAGCCTTGATCTTTCAGTGGGGGCTTTGGGCAAAGTGGGGTTAAGTGTCTTGCCCAAGGACACAACGACAGCAGTCATCAGTGGGAGTCGGTGGAGAAGGTGCAGAGGTGGGAATTGAACCCACGACCTTCTGGCCTTAAGGCCAATGCTAGAAGGTGCAGAGGTGGGAATTGAACCCACGACCTTCTGGCACGACTGATAACTACTCAACAAAACTATTTCAATTTAAAGTCATATACATAAGATTTGATCGCCTTTCCTGGATTGCATTTTTTATTTTTGTTAATAACACAGGCTATCACTGTTTTCCCGTTCTTCATACCCACTCACAGCCGTTTCATGCATATTTGAGATATTAATATCATTCAAGAAGCCATTGCACAGACAATCCCTATGATCACAGCTTACTCTTCATAACGTTCTTTGGGATTTTTTGATTTTCTCTATTGGTGATGCAGAGGTGTCAGACCTTGATTTGAACATACTTTGTCTTAAAATTGCCAACATATCATATGACTAGGAGTTGGAGTATGATTATTTAGCTGACCAAGCACAATTGGTGTAAGTAAGTAATCTCAATTTTTTCACAGACCACTATGGTGTGACGCTGGTTGAGAGGTCTGCGGTGCCATCACCATTCATTCTTATTGTGCATATTTTTTGTGAGAGAAACTGGAGGACCTGGAGGAAGCCTACGCAGACACAGGGAGAACACACAAATTCCTCTTACTAATGCTCCAAAATGTATCTTTGACATCTGAAAACCTCCAGAAAACTTCTACACAGAAGCGGCAGGTCGCATTCCGTTAAAACAAGGTCGCATAAAGTGCATTGGATAAAATGCATCTCGGTGAATGAGGCAGTCCTGAATTTCAGCCGCTTGTGGAAGCTCCTTCTTTTTCTGTAACAACCCCAGCTAAAAATACCTCCCAATGTCCTGCACACAACTCCAGGTGCTCGATGGCAGGAAATATAATGGAGAAAAGCCACTCTGGTGGGTCTATGCAAGGTTTATAATCACCTTAATTTGAAATACTTGTCTTTTGAGTCGTTTCTATGCTTTGGCGTTGTTGGTATGACTTCTAAATGACAGTAGCTTCCCACATTTGAGTCCGATAAGAATTCAGTGCCAGCTCGTTCCCTTCCACCTACTCCTGCAGAACTGCCAGCAAGAAAACTGCACCTCGACTATCAAGTGGGATGTGACAACTTAACAAAGAAGGAGGCCTAATTTAAAAAGAGTGTGCATTGGAAAAGATAGAAAGTATGGTTTCAAACGTGTAAACAAACAGACGCAGGCTTGTCCCGTGCACCCTCGGTCTCCTCTGCTGTGAAGGTCGCTTTGTGTCTTGATTTGACACAGCTTAATTAGAAGCTATGTCAGCTATGCAACGAGGTAGAGGCGAGGTTTGAGAAGAAGGTACTTCACAATTTGGGTAAAAATAAAATGTTGGACAATAACTTTATTTGGGAAGTGGGAAAAATCTGTTCAAGATAGTGGAGTCAACTACATAATGTCTATAATATCAACAAATAATGCTATTTATGGCATATGTGGATCACTGTTATATACTTTTAACAGAGGAAGTATATGTTGTTTTTGTTTGTGCAAACATTTCTGTACAATTTTGCCGAATTATATCACACACAAAAAATTAAACAGAAGAAGATAGTATTGTCCAGAATTTTATCATTAGTACACTCCAGCAAGACATACAAAAAACTAATAATAACATTTCATTTAGAATCAAATTTCTAAATAAAATCTCTAAACAAAAAAAAAACAACAAAAAAATCCAAAAACAATTCAATTTTCAATGTTTTACAGACGTGTATTACGGATAACGGGATTTTTATTGTACATAACATAATATATCCTGAAAAGACAATTTTTTTTGCCTTTAGCATGTTTGCACACTTCTATCCATGCCAAATGTGACATGTACATTTCTCCTATATGAGATCAATAAAGTCTATCTTATCTTATCTTATGACAACTGCAGAACTTATACCCATTCACGTCATTGCTTTCCCTAATGCTTCCAATCCAACACACGTTACCCAGCCCATTTGCGTTCAAGGTGTTTCCCTGAGAAAAGTGCAGAGGCAGCAGTGTGAAATCATGGTGACCGCTGACCCTCTGTGCTAGCATCACTGCATCATCCGTCAGTCTATAAATAGAGCTGTGAGCGGTTACAGTATAAGGTATAGGGGTTAGCATGGGGACAGACAAGACTTATGAGGGCCTGGTCAGATCCCACTGCCCTTCACTATGCGCTTACATGCAATACGTGCAATTTTAATACATATCTACATTACAGCTGGATCACTGGATTAAAAAAATGGACCAGGGCAGGTAATTAATAATTTGCGTAAAATACTGGGAGGAAACTGGAGTAATCGTTTCACCATCCATCTGATTTGGTCGTAATTATATTAAGATCGAAGCAACAGATTTAAAAGTAAGGCTAAGCGGTTAGTTTTAAGGTTTGGACTTCAAAAACATATATTATTCAGACCTTTTGTTGACTCATGGTGTTTAAAAGCTTCTAAATGTGTCACAGCCGAACGCAAATTAAAAATGAAAGTCTGCAGCTAAATGAAATGAAATTCAATGTATTAGTGAACGGACTTTACAAAGTTGTCGGTTCGCTTACAACAGATCAGAAAATCAAACAGTACGATCACAGGGATAACAACAAACACACAAGAGCCATTTAAAGCCCAACTTAATCTTACTTTATGAATGAAGAAACTGAATTGGAAACGGGCCTTTTCACGTATTTACCATGTGCAGTGGTGCTTGAAGGTTTGACCGAATGTTGATTATGTTTTGGAGATTATGAAAAATATCACTTATTTTTCTCGCTTATTGTTAGTGGTTGGGTGAAGCCTATCTATTGTCAAAGCTTCTCATCCTTCTTGGTAAAAAAATCTTTCAGTTTCTGTAAATTCCTGGCCCACCTTGCAACAACGGCACATTTGAGATCTCCAGACTGGCTCCATAATGTTATAATTTGAAAATAGAAAACCTGTTTATTGGATAATATACGCAATGAGTGGAGACTGCATCGGTTTATGTATATTTCTCAATTTTTGTGTGTGTAATTTGCTACCCTAGTATCTTTAGTTCTACTTCCTGTTTCTGATGACCTGCCCCGCCCTCATGTGTGTCACCTGTGTGTTGTTAGTCTTGTGTATTAAGACCCTGTGTATTCCTTCACTCCCTTTTCTGTCATTCTCATTGCATGTCTGTTTTTGTTCCTGTCTTTTGCCTCTCTTTGGTTACTTTTAGTTTTGTTTTACGTTTCATTAAATCCGTTATTTTTTTCCATTCTGCGTTTTGGGTTATTTTCATTTTGTCCTACATAACACATACAAATGCTGATAAGATACACTTTATTGATCTCACAATGGAGAAATTTACATATTTGGTAGAGAATTACTCAGGGTGTGCAAAAAGACAGGAAGTGTGCAAACTGCAAAAATATAGTCTCTTTGGTGCAAGATATATTGTCACTTATCATTTTTATTGTACATAATATAAGTGTGAGTTTTTCAGTCCTAGTGCAGAGTAACTTATTGTACAGTCTGACAGCGGTGTGGTTGTAGTCCCTGCAGTAGCGCTCTTTCTCGCACTTATCACTGATCTCCCAAATAGGGCCAAAAACATTGAATCTCTGGGTGTGTAAGCCTTCCCGCACATGTACCATATATGTACCCTGCTGCATGAGCTCTCCGTGTCGGCACATACCGGTTGAGGTGCTCCTGCAGCTGTCCCAGGCGCTGCTCCACCTCTCCGTAGGTGATGTCGCTGGCAGAGCTCTCGTCAACTCCTGGCAGATCCGGGAACTGTGCTGACTCATCCAGGTAGTCTGTGGGCTTCTTACAGCTCCATTTATCACCGCGCTCATCTGGGGAAGAGCCAGGGCAAACACGCGCCGTGCACATGTGGGCCAAAACAACGTCATCACTAAACAAAAAAGAGCCCCCGGAAATAGAAGCTAATTAATCACTACAGGAGGGTGGTGTGGGAACATTCATCAAGGGCCGCTGTATACAGAATTGTTAAAGCCATGTTTTACAGCTGCAAACTGTGGTGTTATCTTTGCCGGGCAGATGTGAGCACATGGGCCGTTGTCAAGCGAGGCTATTGTTGATGAGGAGATGAGAGTTTGGTGATTGCTGAGGGTTGGGCTGGAGATATACAGGGCTGTTAAAAGAAGCTGAAGAGCTGGTGTAATATCTACTCTGCCTGCGACGGCCACTTACAATTTGATGACTTGGCAATTAAGTGGTTGGCATGTGGTAAAGTGCGCGGTTACTGTGTAGTTTTTTTGGCCAATTTGGTCAATGTGGTATTAGTAAGCCAAAATCGGAATTGTTTGACTAGTATAAGTGAAAAGTGTTTTATGTGGGACAATAAAAAGAATATATGACAAAAATGCGCAGACAAACAAGCATGTCAAAGAGCTTGATATATATAATGCCTCTGAAAAGACGACTGGAACCAAATATACTGGTGCCACAGGAAATAACAAATAGTCAACAATATAGTACTGGTAAATGTCATTTTTATTTTTTGGAATGGGCTAGTTGGACACATCGTAAAGGTTACATTTAGCGACACCATTGGCTTTCAATTCAATTTGTTTTTGTATAGCCTTAATTCACAACAGCAAAGTTGTCAACATTGTGGGTGAATTGACACAGTGAAAATGATAATAAAAACGAAGAAAAACTGTGATTAAAAAAATGTGGCCAGGGACATCATCCATATATTTTTCTCAATTAATAATGATACCTTTTAAGTTATTTTTGTCAGATCAGCTCAACCGCACGCTCTACTTGTGCTCATATCCGGTAAACTTACCTAAACCTGTTTGGATGAGGGCAGCTGTGTGCTAATGGCAGGTATAGCGTAAATGGGAAAACTATTGATTTGAAGCAAACACCGACATGTGTTTGTAAATGGGCGGATTGTGAAATGGGGTCAAGGCATTTGTTAAAGTCAATGGTAACGAGGCTAGAATTGTATATGTAGCATCATCTTTGATTTATGAAATGTCAGGTTTAGTCGATAAAAACTGGGGTTGTTTGGGGTTACATGTACGCTTTGGTCATTAGCGAATTTAGTCACTTCAGGAGCTAAGAAAATGTTTTTATTTTTTTTATCAGGTTCAAGGCTGCTGGAAATGAGATCTGATCAATAATAAAAGCAGTACATAATAGAAATAAAAAAAATCAGTGCATTTCTTGTGTTTAAACTTGAATTCGTCAACACAGATCAGAGAATCACAGTTCAACAGTTTTCTAAAGTCCTCTGGGATAACAACTGCTGTAATTCAGAGCTACACATGTTTACATTGGATTGAATTGAAATAAAATATGTTCTCAAGCAACATTGAAGAAGAATCGAGCTTTAGTTGTACTTGAAAGTTTGGTCAGAAATGTTGACTTTTCTTTTCTGTGTTAAGGCAGTGAAACTACTTACAGTCAAATAAACAAGTTATAATGACGGCAAATTATTCAAGTTAGAAGTTTACATCCCCCAGTTCTCTTTATTCCCTTTAGCATCTATGACACCTGGAGTCTTTTGTGCTAGTTGTGGATGACGCTCTATATTCTCTCTGATTGTTAAGCTGCACATTGTTCTTGGAAAATATCTTCTACTCCCTGTACATTCCTGGGCTGTCTTCCGTGAATTACGCATTTGAAATTGGCAAAAATAGAAAAACATGTTTATTTCACTTTCACTGAGTGGATATATGTCCAAAATGTGGCCAATCCAATTAGATCTGTGGTTGAGACTGCAAACTGTCAAGCACAATTGCAGTATCTGCGGTTTAGCTGCACACTATCTGGGAGCTCACTCTCCCTGCACTCGGCGAATAGTAGCAGAGCCGTGTTCCTCCAGTTTGCCGCTGACTTCAGACCAGTGTGGTGTCTGGTGGGTAAGCGCTTTGAAGTTTCGGTTTGAAGCTATATTTTCTCATGTGGGAACAAACCAGAGCTGCGGTGTCCAGTCATAAAAGACCCCAAACCAGGAGCAATGTAATATGTCCAGTGTGGGCCTGGGATTAGACAAACTTTGGGACTTCTCCAAAGCTAGGGCAATTCACTTCTTTGTTCCACAATATAAGTTGTCTGCCCCAAAATAAAATGTAGGATAGAACCCTGTTTGTCACCAATTGGCACTTAGGTACCCTAGCCTACCCTATTATATATCTATATGTATATCTAAATTTTTATGGTTATAAGATATCCAACAACATCCTAAACTATGTTCCTGTGTCATGTTACATGTCTTCTATATTTGCCGAACTTTTTTTTACTCATACATGATTTCTTTACAGACCACCCTCCATGCTAACATTCTAGTGACATGCCACATCCGTACCTTGGTAGGAGGAAGCCCGGACCAGGCTCTCCGGCAGCTGTCCCATCAGAGGCACCTCCACGGCAGGGGTGTCCGGTGAGGGGATGGTCAGCACATCCGAGTATCTCTTCAGGCACGAGTTGGACCCCTGCTCCCGCACCGCCTCCTTGTTTTCCGCTATATGATTACAATCAACACCAGCAAAGTGAAAAATAATAATGTTAATTCCACATGGGGAAAGCCTCCTCTGGGGAGCAGCGTATACAAAACAATAACAGTATTCTAATAAAGGGGAAAATGCACTTTAAGGGGATATGTAAAGATGAGCTCACGGTCGGGGAGATCCGGGGTAAATGAGATTCTTCGCTTAATGGTCTTTGGGGCTTCAAGGTCGGACTCACACTCCTGGGAACCTGAAGCCTGTGAAACGAGCAAATCGGTAATTTAATAAAGAAGAAACTGTATATTACGAGGATAAGTTTGCGATAGAAAGTTTGCACATAGACCACAGCGCAAAATAGATGCCTAATGGTCTCCACATTTATGCAACAGTTTTAACAATGTTGAAAATAGTAACAGTGTGGGATATGTTATTTAAAGGTGAACTGTGTGGCTGTGAGTGAGAGGGTCCAAAACATTCTTATCCTCGTGGAGACATCATTGATTTGACTGCAAACAGCGCAACTTTTTTGGCACAAAAAACCCTTTCGTACTATTTTCTTGAGACATTAGATTAGAAGTACAAATCCAGCAGCCTAAAGGTGCATTCCCACAAAACCAAACAGTACGGCAGGTTGCATGAAGAAATATTCCAATAAGGAAGTACCAGATCATTCATTCTGGCGCAGAAATATACCTGTACGGGGTCATCCCTGAGGTTAAACGTCAGCTCTAAGTTGTTGAAGAAGTAATCGGCAAACTCCGGGTACATGTCGAGCACCTCCAGCAGCTCCTCTCTCTGAATGGTGCTCAGGTCACAGTAGCTCAGCGCGCGCACGTCTGCGTTGGCTTTTCCCGGTTTGGCATTAAGGTGGATCATCTCTCCAAAGATGTCATTTTTACCTGCAGAAACATACATGCACATTTAGAGTAAAACACTGCATCTAGTTATGGAAAATAACTTCTGTGGGCCATATGTTTACGACTATGAATCCAGTTGTATGTGCCAGATGTTAACGGCTGCTTGTATTAAAATTCCTCTCTCACTATTATGTATGACACCTTTCAAATTCTTTCGTAATCCCCCTACATTGACTACATAATTCTAATGTTTTTTGTACAGTTTGAGAAAAGTGGAAATGCTGTGTGTACGCCGGAACACATTGGGAAAGATGATCAAAGTAATGTTCACAGCACTAGCATCTATGGTGTATGCATCACTCTCAATACGGCTCTATGTGGATACACGAGAAGACACAACGAATATGTAGCTATAAAATCTGATTAAAAATGCAATTACATCCATTTGATACCTCCATTATGATTTCTGCAGCTGGCGTTGCAGTTCCATTCAAACTCGTGAACTCCGGTTATGATTGTAAGTTGTGACAATCACCACAAAATCCTCTGATAACGATGTCAAATGTTATTTTTGTCAAACTCTGCATATTCATCATTTCACCTAACATTATCTCATTTTGTATATTTGCATTTTCAAGAGCCGATTACGCAACTGCCAATGCCCCAAATAATTTCCCTCGTGGATGAATAAAGTCTAAGCCTGTTCAAATCTAGAGAGACTTTATGGAAAATCAGCCTCTGGACAAAACACGGCATTGGCATGTTTACTTTGGCGCAGAATGGGAAACTCGATGTTCCTCTATAGACTGTTATAACTTTGATTCATTATTTTGTGTGCCAGTGAGGAGTACTTTGATGTGAGAGAAAAAGCAGGTCTGATTGTGATGGGCACACTCCATGTTGCGCTTCAAAAGAATGAGCCTTGATTAGGAATGCTTCGTCTGCAATGGAGCTTCACGAGGCCAATTATGCTTATGACAAACTAAGATTTGGATTTGGACGTTGATGGTTTCCTGAAGACATGCAAAAACAGAAGCACTGATAACAAGAGTTTCTTCATATAGAGCTGAAGAAAATAGAACTATGACACAAACTATTTTATAAACAATTACTCACTTGGATATGGATTGGAGTTCAAAGGATATGGATTTGAACTTAATCATAATCTGTAGGTATTAGGTTCAGCCTTTGTTTAAACTGGGTTTTTAAAGTACAAGGACTATATTACCTACATTTTGGCAATTTTCCACACAGGCAAATGCGATCCTTGCAGGGTTGAATATAACCATTATAATTGTAATATATCTGCAGCGCTCTTCTATGAATGGGAGGTTGGAACCACCTTAAGGTCCAATTAGAGTGTATTTATTTGGAGCCAGAGCAGTTTCCAGGAGTCCAGTGGTGTTCACTATTACAGATAATATGTCTGTGGTCAGTGTGGGCTGCACCGTGTGGCCACACGCAGAGCTCAGCACTCTCAACACCAACATTTCTCTCATTATATTACACTGGAGCTGCGGGAGCAAGCTGTGTTTACTCCTGTTTTCATGGTTTAACAATGAAAATTAAAAATGATCCCAACTTGTTTGAACCTTTAATGTTTCTATCTTACTTTTGTCTGTATGCTTCTCTCTTCATCCTGGCTGTGATTTGTTAAATTAAGTAGTAAAGGAATAAGAATAGAGGCCAGTAACAATAATATGTTCATGTTGTCTTAATAATGAATGGTTCAGGAAGAATCCCACCAATCCTTTGGAATAATAGTGTAGACAGTATTCTATAGTAGCTTGTGGTGAAGGCTGCCATATGATTGTGAGTGATGTGTTGAGGAATGCATCTCAGTCTTAAACACATTTGAAGAGTACTATTAAAGGGGACATATCATGAAAAATCCACTTTTTGTGCCTTAAATGCCTTATGTTGTGAAGTTGGAGCCTCTAGAAGTGCAAAAAAGTTTAAATCAGTCCCTTCATGGGTTGCAGAGAACACTTCATATTCTGTTTAGGTAAGATTTTTCAACCCGTTCTGATTTTGCCATTCTCTATTACGTGTTTAGAATTATTACGTCACAGTATTTGCAGCGAGACTGCTATATATGGGCATGGGCGTCAAACAAAACACTTCGGCCCAGCCCTCTACTGTGCATACTTCGAATTTGTAGTCCAAGCTCAAGGATGCCAGCGCACAGGGCTGGACTGGCCATCGGGCGTACCGGGCAATGCCCTAAGGGCCGATGCCCATATTTGGCCCGGTCTGTCTGCCTCATACAAAACACATGTTTATGAGAAGTGTAAATCCATTGAGAATTGTTCGAGCGGGCGCGCGTATCCGCGGGGCACCTGCTGTATGTACTCGAACGGGATTCCGCCACCTCAGCGGCCGGAGTGTTCCGGGGCATCTGCGGCCGCTTTGTAATGAGCAGCTTCCGCGTCCAGCGGCTGCGAGAGGCTGTGAGCGCGCAGCCTCAACGTGGCCATGTACCCAACCCAATAAACGCGAACAGGACAATGCGTGTCTTTGAGTAATCTGTGCACACAGTCCGCGTCTCCCCTCTCCTCTCGAAGCGCGATTAAACACCCTAAATAAAGCTCTGATACCTAAATTTTGCATTGCATTAAAAGTTTATGTTTGAGCCCAAAAGTAATATGTTGTGAACAAATTAAACAGATTTAGAGCCAGCAAATGGTTGACAATATGCATTTCAGTCTTTTTTGACCAATTCTCATCCCTGTAACAAACAATAGTGTTGTCTGTGTCCACCTCCTTCACTCTGAGACATGTTCATTACCCTCTTGTAATGTAGACTATTGCATTTTATTTTATTGTTGAAACTGCACATATCCTGATCCACTACAGTATTTGCTTCCACATACTGTATAAACTAGGAGTCGGCAACTTGCGGCTCCGGAGGTGCATGCGTCTTTTTCCTTCTGTAGAAGGAAAAACGTTCTTAAAGTTTTTAAATGCTGTAAAAAGTAATATTCAATTTAAACATTTATGTCAACGTAGTGTGTCATATCCTGCGACGTAGGCCCGTGCCAGGCGGTAGTTGTTGTAAACAAACCGGCATGTCAGCTCTGCTTGTTTACAAGTCTCTCCATGGCCTCGCACCAAAATATATTAGTGACATGTTAGTCCCATATGAACCAGCCCGGACTCTGAGGAGCACAGGGACTGGACTCCTGCTGGGACTCTGAGGAGCACAGGGACTGGACTCCTGTTAGTGCCCAGAGTCAGAACTAAACATGGGGAGGCTGCTTTTCAGATTCATGCTGCTAAAATCTGGAACAATCTTCCTGAAGATGTGAGACAGGCCTCCTCAATGACATTGTTTAAAACCAGGTTAAAAAAACAGTTCTGTTTAGCTGTGCATACAACTGAGGGATTTTATATTTTTAGCTTTCTTTTTAATGTTCTGTGATTATTTATGATTTTAATGCTTTCTTATTTTGTTCAGCACTTTGAATTGCCTTGTGTATGAATTGTGCTATATAAATAAACTTGCCTTGCCTTGCCTTGACTGTGCGCATGGATTCCAAAGCTAAAAAGAGAAGAGTCGATAATAAGACTGGACTAAGAATGAAAATTAACATTTGCTTTCAGTCAATGAGGAAGGCCTGCTTCATGTTTGCGATGTAATGAGAAGTTTCTATGAGATAATTGTATCTGTGCTTAGAAACTACGAAAATGGCCGCTCGGGGTGGAGTTGAACCTGTGTCACCTGGATGGGGGGGGTGGTCAAAAGCGCCTCATTTGAATTTAAAGAGACAGCACCAAAACAGGTTGCTCTCAGACGCACCTCAGAACAGGTGTAGAAGAAAGGCCCGTGGAGCTACAAATAATGAGACTCAGACCCAGGCATTGCAGTTACGCTTTATATAGACCACAAATGAATGATTTAGATGTAAAAATCAATTATTTGAAAACACGATATGTCCACTTTAACTCAAAGAGAATACCTGCATGTGGACACACTATGAGCAGTAAGCAAAAACATAATAATAAATGGACAAACGCTCCAGCTGTAGTGCTGAGGGCGCAGTATGTTTGTGAATATCTCCATAAATGAGCTGATCTGTGAGATCAGTGACTGTCCCCGTGTGTTTGTTAATAATGGCTTTTGTGTGATGCAGCAGCTTTTGCTAAGCTTAAACCCCATTCTGTCAGGTGCAGCTTTGCCGGGCATTCATCTCATGAATAATGGCAAGTTTAATCCAGGCTTGGCCTGCAGCACCTGGCCACGCTTCAGCCGTAAAGAAACAAAGAAATACTCATTACTCTAATATGAATGATGACCATCAATATCACATGTTCGCTTTGATTTGCCAGCAGATGTTGACGAAATGTAGTAAACAAATCTGTTTGTGTTTCTCTTCCTTCTAGAACAAACAAGCAAACAAAGAAAATTGCAATACAATAACTGTATATTTATATCCATGTATATGGCTGACCTACTCTGCAATTTATAGTCTGAGTAGTCAAACAAAAATCATATCCGTGGACACCCTTCAGGCGGCCGCCAGGCAGTTGTGGCTAAAGCACATACACTCCCCACTATGTGATAAATATTAAAAACCTTCTCTTGCGATGTTTGAAATTCAGCACTGACACAGCATCATTCTCGGCCTGTTCCAATAATCCTGTATTGGAGCTTTGAACTGCTTCCTTCAGCTGACAAGAGAATGGCAGTGATATTCCCATTTTGTCTGAAAATTGCCAAACAACCTTTTATGGTGGCACTTAATAGAAATGTCACAGCTTCAAATCTGTCACATGAACGGCCTTTTTGCCAAGGGGTCAGCGAGACAAGAGCCATTTTCTCCTATTTCTGTCAAAATGTGTGAACATCGGTTCTAGCTACTAGAAAATTACAGATTTTTTTTTTTTCTTGGAGTGAAGCATTTACAATTCAACAGTCGGACTGTGTGGAGGTTCTGGTGACTGTGTGTGAGTTAGGGATCATGTCTCCCCTCTACTCCTCTGTGACAGCAGCCTTTCCACACCAGTTGCATTTGTCGTACATTTCGACACATAAAATAGTCTTGGGATAACCACCTTTGAACAAGATGTGTGGGAAATTGTTGTTGTGAAAGTTCTATTCAATGAAGTTTTATAATGAAAAATGTCTCTTTAGTGGTTTAATTTTAAACTTAAACGTAAGTAGACTTTCAAAAGAAAAGACACATGAAAAAGCACGGGATATGTCTGGTCTCTGAGAATTGTTAAGGCTTTGGCGGTAATGCTCCCCAGTATGGCATTAAATGTGTAGCTATCTCACTCTTTCTAACTCGTGACAAACTGGAGGAGGTTACTCCTGCTGTTGGTAATGGACAGGCTGAAGCGGCGTACTTGACTTCCCACTTAGACTCTTCAGTGGGCCTCGATAAATTCATGGCTGTGAGCCAAGCAGAAGTGATCTCTGTGGTCACATCTTCTAAAGCCACAACTTGCTTTATAGATGCAATCCCGGCTTGGCTCTTCAAAGACATACTTCCTTTGATAATTGAGCCTATCGTAAATATAATAAACACATCTGTACAATGTGGCTATGTCCCAAAAGCTTTTAAAACTGTGGTAATCAAACCCCTTCTGAAGAAAACAAACCTAGATCCGGAAATACTTACAAACTGCAGACCGATCTCAAACCTTACTTTCATATCTAAAATCCTGGAAAAGCTTATAGCTGAGCCGCTTTGCTGCCACCTGCAGGAAAATAATATGTTTGAAGTCTTTCAATCAGGATTCAGAGCTCATCATAGCACTGAAACAGCACTAGTCAAAGTCACAAATGACTTACTACTAGCTGCTGATAATGGCCAAGTGTCAGTGCTGGTCCTACTGGACCTTAGTGCTGCATTTGACACAATAGACCACAGCATTCTACTGCAGAGGCTAGAATGTGATATAGGTCTTAGAGGAACAGCCCTTGGCTGGTTTAAATCCTATTTATCAGATCGGTATCACTTCGTCAACGTAAATCAGAACTCGTCGCCTTATTCTGGAGTAGAATTCGGTGTGCCGCAGTGTTCGGTACTCGGACCGATTCTTCTCACTCTCTACATGCTGGCGTTAGGAAACATAATTAAAAAGCATGGAATTAATTTCCACTGCTATGCAGATGACACACAGCTTTATCTGTCGATGAAGCCAAATCAGACGGATCAGCTAGAAAAGCTTAGTGCTGCATAAAGGACCTTAAAACGTGGATGACTCTTAACTTTCTACTTCTCAACCCGAAGAAGACAGAAGTGATCCTACTCGGTCCGAAGCGCCTGCGTGACTCCCTTACTAACCAGATAATCACTCTCGATAATGTCAGTATTATACCCAGTAACACTGTGAGGAATCTTGGAGTCATTTTCGACGAAGAACTCTCCTCCAAGGCTTATATAAGCCAAGCAACTAAAACGGCGTACTTCCACTTCTGGAACATCGCTAAAATTAGGAATTTCCTTCCTAAAATTGACGCGGAAAAAAAGTATCCACGCTTTTGTCACCTCAAGGCTCGACTACTGTAACGCTTTACTGGCAGCGTGCCCTAAAGCCTCTTTGAAGAGCTCCCAGCTCGTTCAGAATACAGCAGCTAGGATCTTAACAGGTACCAACAGGAGGGAGCACATAACTCCGGTGTTAAAATCACTCCACTGGCTCCCTGTGGAGTACAGAATAAAGTTTAAAATCCTTATCTTAACATATAAAGCCAAAAATGGTTTGGCTCCGTCTTATCTCCAAGACACGTTAGTGTCATATCAACCAAGTCGAGCGTTGCGCTCACAAAACGCCAGACGTCTGGTGGTTCCTAAGGTCTCAAAAATCACTGTTGGCGGCAGAGCATTTAGCTACCAAGCTCCTTTACTGTGGAATCAGCTTCCCATTTATGTTAAGGAAGCAGATACGGTCTCCACATTCAAGGCCAGGCTTAAAGCACTCTACTTTAATTTAGCATAGAGTTAGGCTGTTTGCCTGGATCGGTTTGCACACTTGGTGTGCAATCCATGATTCTTGGTGCTGTAGCCTAGGCTAGCCTAGCCGTGGCTGCTGCTGTCTCACCTCCTTTCAGATACGCTCTCTTTATTCAAGGCTAGGCTTAAAACAGTCCTCTTTAGTTTAGCATATGGCTAGGAAGGTAAGACTCAGGGACTCAGAGTCCTCTGTCAGTCAAGCTGCATAGGGAGTCAGTTTGCTGGGAGAAGTATGGTAACTTCCTACTTTACCTGTTTAGCATTATTAGGATTTTGACTGTAGTTTGTTCATTGCTATTCACCCGCTGTCCCATTGTCTGTTTCATGGTACGATGACGGGACCTCTGAGCCTGGCCTCCTCCATCTACACCTGCGGACTGCCCTGCCCGACCCGCCTGGGAGTGCTTCGGTCCTGCACCGGACCTGTCCACGTTCAGCGTCCACTGGTCCACGTTCTGTAGCTAGCTTAGGTCCTGGATCATTAGTCTGTCCGTCCGGAGGAGCGGATCCCTTTCTCAAATGGGTCTCCCTCCCTGTGGGTTTCCCTAGGTCTCCCCAAGGTTTCTCACTTTTTCCCACTGGGTTTTTTAAATGAGTTTTTTCTTGCCGATGCAGGAGGGTCTTGTTGGACAGTTAGTGTCCAACAGAAAGGATGTGGTGATGATCAGGACACTTTAACATTCTACAACATGTATGGACATTTTTAACTGTTGATTCTCTGATCTGTGTTGGTGATTTCAATGGTTTTGTTAAGTCCTCTGAGATGACTTCTGTTGTGGCTTAGGGCTATACAAGAATAAATTGTATTGTATTGTAACTTGTAATAACAATAAATTAATATCTGTAGGCATACACTTCATATGTATATCTTTTTATTCTACACACTTTCATATGGTATGGATGTCAAGTATTCAGGGCACAAAAAACAGTAAGCACAAAAAATAATAAAAGCAAGACATTGGTATAACTTGTCCACATTGTTCACTGACATTTACTGTTACTTTAAAATGACTTGTTTCTCACTGTAATCACAGTGGCATGGAAATAATGAACATTATTTTAGACACAGGGGAAACAGCTAGCAGCACCACTTAGCAATGTTTACTTATACTATTGTAAACATAAGCCCTGAGTCTGCTCTGATATTCTTTGTGAAATAATGGAATTTAGGACTGTCACATTGAGTCAGTGAGACGCAGCATGTTTGTGTATCGTGGCCAACCCCTGTCTGCTCACTGCAAATTCAGAGGAAACAGAAGAATCAGCAGTCTCTATAATGAGATGTGGCAGAGTTTTTTTTTTTATTACTTAGGAGATGTTCACACTTGTTAATCTGGACGACTCACTTCAGAACAAATGCAGCGGTCCTCATGGGTCAAATAATTGGAGCTGACAGAGGTGACAGGTGGACCAGGGTGCGCTTGATTGAGACTTTCACATCTCTAATTGGAACACACCCTTTTGTGGGAAGGAGAGGTTCCGTAGGTCATTCCTTCCTGCTGCTATCAGACTGTACAATGAGAACTGCTGAGCCTGTACATGTCATCCATCTGTGAATAGTCAGTACTGTAATCATGTGCAATGTGCAATACTGCAATATCAGAAAGTCCACTGAATGTCACTTTATCTACTTATCCTGTCCTATATGTACAGTATATAACTTTGAACTATATATAGAGATATAGCAAAAGATTGATATCGAAGCATTTACAGCTAGCTAAGAAGCATAGCAGCTACTCATATTGTATGTTTTGTGTGCTCTTACTACTGTTCTGTACAGTATGTGCGCTGCAACATTGAAATCTCCCCACGGTGGGACAAGTAAAGGACTCCTATCTTATTGTCCCCACATTGATGAGTGTATCTGGTTACAAATATCTGTATGGAGCCTCTCTACCTACCTTACCACACTTACCTTACCATGTACTTACATAGGAGTACCTAACTTTCAAACTACAAAAAATTGAACTATACAGTATGTACAAAATCCATCTTTTTCCGAGCTCTCCAAATAGTTTGCTACCATCAGATGTTTTTCCATTTATGCCTTCATGGCCTCTGTCATAGAGGAGCACCCTTGCACAACCAATCAGCTCTCAAGCCTCAAGTCTCGAAAAGTCTGTCTCACAAGTATGCAAAGGATAAAACTTTAAGACGTAAAGAATGTTTTTAATTTTTACATTACAAGACTCTCTTTTAGACAGATGTTTTATCGATTTTTTTCATGGAAGAAAAATAAGTGAAGTACCCTATCTTCAGGCATCTCCAACATCTTTTCTCCCACTTTTTGCAAGCATCCCACGTGTAAAAATATGACCTTTTGATTTTTTTCATTACAATACATGTGACACAAATCTACAACCTGTTTATTGATATTAACAGTAACATTTTCAATTCTAACGTTCACATTTTTGGCTGAACGTAAGCCATATTTACTATTAAAACAGCTGTAAGTGAATATAGACCTGCCAAATTTTGTCAGGTAAAATGTATGCTCCCCCACAGACTGTATTTCTTTTAGGTCAAACATCATACCCAGGACTGCAAGGTCTACCACTGCAGGGAAAACACCTGCTAAGATATGAATAAGAATACTGTACACATCAGCTTTATAGGCGCCAATTTACCTAAAATGGCCACCACGATGTCATCTTTGAGGATCTCGATGGAGCCGCGTGACAGGAAGTAGATTGCCGTGAGGACGTCCCCGCTATGCACCAGGGTGTCTCCAGGCGGCGCGTGGGTGGTCTGGAAGCGCATGGCCAGCGCCCGCAGACAGCCCTGAGACGCCCCCTGGAACGCTTTGGTGTTCTGTAAAAGGCTCTTGTTGAGGTGGAGACAAATATCGGCCTGCAGACACTCGGGGAAGCCTTTCAACACCTGTCGAGTGGAAAACACACCATGAACAGGATGCATTCACCGTTACACGCAATTATGCATGACCCAGTGGAGCCGGCGCGGATGGACTTGGATGGAATTATGCTTGGCGGCACACAGAGATAGCAATGTTATCTATATCTATAGACGAGCCACCCATGCGTGTGCTAAGGAAGGAGGCTGGAGAGTATAAGCGTATGTTGGTGTTTCTTAGGAAAGCTCGGCAATTATATTATGAAAAATGTAATAAGAAAACACCCCCACAACAAAGAGAGACGGATGTGGGTGTTGGCGTCGTAAACGATGCACTGGAGCCAAATGAAGGTGTTTTGTGCTTTTAGAAACAGTTAAGCCAGTTAGAGAGGGAGAAAGAGAGATAGGGAGGGAGGGAGAGAAAGAACATCTATGCCTAGTGAAAAAGTCAGGGCTTTGAAGGTAGCAGGTTTCATCAGCTTTTTACTTAAACATTTTTTTCCTTTGTCATTTGTTTTATGGATTCAAGATATCGTTTTCACCTACCACTCATTTCACTGTTCTCACACTGCACAAAACCTCCAAACTAAGGTATAGTCTTGATCAAGCCAAGCATCAACATGGATTCAAGAGTGGCTATACTGCAGATTTAACTAGGGGTAGATACATCAAAGGAATAATATTCAAAAAGTAAATCTATATTAGGCATATTGAACCTTCATTAGGCATTTTAAACACAATAAAGCACATGTTAATTCACAAATATTCAACACACGTTCACACAAATCCACCCAAGACTTTGTTTACCAGCAAAGGCTTAGTGCTAAAAATAACTGTTTTACTCTAAATAGAAAATCTGCATGTCAAATACTCCCAAAAGGATTTAGAGTCGTCTGATCCAATCAAACCTGCCTGCTCCTTAACACACAGGAAATCCCACTTTATTGTTGCGAACATCCTGTGCGACCATCCTTTTACTCTGTTCTCTGTCAGCAACACGCACAGACCTATTTTTTTTATACTCTGTGTATACATTTGCAGTCAGAACTAATAATAAAACACATGTACACACAAGCAACTCTATCTGAAATGCAAAAGGGTCTTTGTAATCTCAATTTGTGAAATTCATCCAAAAAATGCAGTCATCCCGCTAATTAAAATGATTAAAATGTGTGTAATAAATGCAACAGAAATGACTTAAACAGTCAAAGTGTAATGAGCACTTACCTCCTGTTCTTGACAAATCCGTGTTCATCCACACGTGAAGCAAGGAGGAGAAAATACAGTTAGAAATGTGTTTTGGTTTACTTTATTCATCTCCCAGAGGCTCAGTAGAACCATGCAGACAGATCAGACAGACATAAAACAATACAGTATACATACGTGGCACATAAACACAGTCACGCCATGTTCGTTTATGGACGGAGCCTCAAATGAGTTTTTTAACCAGTTGCTTTTGCACAGAAGAATCCTGTATTTTTTTTTGGACCACATCAGTGATTATTGAGAGTCTGATGATGTTCCGAGCCTGTCTCACTGATGAATGCTCAAAGGTGGTCTTTGGGGTTAGGTCCTCACAGTGGACAGAGACACATCATGGTCTCACCTTCTGTAGTTTTTTCAATCTGAGGATTTGTAGTTTATATGTTTCAGTCCGATTACCAAACCAGCTCAATATTCCAGATCTCAGCACATATTCAGTGCTCCCACTACAGAAAGTCAACATAACATTTTGATGATTTTATCATGAAAGATGACCTTTGTCCCCCATTAACCAAGAATACACAACAATTTATTTTGAAATGTTTACATTTACTTATTTCACATATTTCATAATCACTTTAATCATTATCATTCAAGGAGAAATGGTTATGTACTGTACATACATTTGTCATACTTATACCTACATACAGTCTAAACATACACATGTATATAGATATATACAGTACATACAAAAAACTACCATGCCATAAACTTTTGTATGGATATAGTATGGATGCAGACTGTCATCTTGTGACAAGACAAGGGCTGAGAATCCAAAGAACAAACTATCAAGTGAGTTTGTATGTGTGTTTTTGTCTGTGAAGAGATAACCCTGCTTCCGAATCTCCCCAAATGATTGATAAAAAAACAAAAAAACAAAAAAAGTATTAGAGCAAACTTTTTTTGACAACAGTATTTAAACATCAACGTGTGTTGTGCCTTTTATTGTTAATCTTTATAAATTATGAATAAGTGAGTTTTCCCAGACCAGCCTAAAAAATGGTTCCACTTTTCAGTAAGGCTCAGTAAGACTGGTACTTTTAACCTTCACGCAGAGATAATTAGTATTGAAACCTTCTGTTATTCAAACGTTTTCACTCTCCACAATACTCTGCATTGATTTTACATTACAACAGAACCATACCATTACTCTTGCCCTAATCATCCAGACCAGTGCGTGTTCGTACCGTGTTCATGTCGATGCCGTTGGTGTAGGTCCAGGAGTGTTGGAAGTACTCCTCCAGCCTCTGCCGCAGCGGGTTGGGGATCTGGTGGAACCGGATGAACTCTTTGACCCGGAGCATTTGGGCGTGGTAGCGAGCCGTGCCCGAGTACAGCCTCTGGATGATGGCCGACACATTCCCGAATATGCTGGCGTACATGAGAGCTGCAGGGCATCAGAGCGAGGGGCGGGTTACGCCAATAATGTGCTAACACAAGTGCTAGGGATATCTAAAGAGACTGGAAGTAAGTGAGTGAGGGTGAATGAAAAGAAGATCATTCTGGCAGCAGGAAGTGATGAGATTCATTATTACACATGTAGCAAAATTAAATCAGTTTTAAATTGAAACACTGTCTTCTTTATTAATAATTACATTTGTAATAAGCCAACAGTGGGGAAAAGCCATAGATGTTCAAGAGCATTATCTAAGTATGAGTGAAAGTATCTGTCTTTCTTGAAGTAAAATTAAAATGCAAAATTAATAAAACCAAATTATATTTGACCGTTTTTGGAATTATGCTAATTTTGTGTTGCCAATCTGCATAATAATATATATAAATCACAAACGTATGAATATAAATCTTTGTAAGATACAATGTAGCGTCTTGAGGGCATTATTTCTCTGTGTGAATGTGGAGCAGGGGACGGTGGAAAAACACTGCCTTGAAACGCTCTAAAGCATTGAAGACAGTCCCAGAAAATAATAATATGATATAGTGTAAGAAAACTCCAAGTCAGCGCACTTCTAAATATATTTGTTTGGTTTAAAATAGTTTTCTCTCCTTGCACAACTCTGCAAGTCTGCCACTTCACAGAACGTATTCTCGCAAGGCTTCTCCTTAATACAATTATAATATAAGTCATTCACACTGTGTATGCAGGTTAGGGTTAGTATACAATTGGCAAATGTAAGACTTTAACATTCAAACTGCTCACATCACTAGTTTGAACTTGCATCACCATATCGCAGCCATTCCCAAACTCAGTAACACCGAGGCCCCCTTAAAAATCTGACGGGTCTGCGTGGCCCCCCAAAATAATAACCAAGAAGACAACATTAAGAATAGGCTCTTCTGGTTATTTTATTTTAGGGAAATAGCCTCTGCTACAAACATTGTAATACAAAAATGATTACAGTGGATTATTCAAGTCAAATAATGAACACAAATATTTTAATATTACAAACAAAACATTATAAATTTAACATTAAATGATGATATTTTTTTTTTTTATGACCTCCCGCGGCCCCCCTGCAGTACCCTCGCGGCCCCCCAGGGGGCCGCGGACCCCACTTTGGGAGACACTGCCATATCGCATGTATTTATAGCATGTATATCACATGTATTCAGGAATCATCAATCATAAAGCTGCTAATATCAACAGTACGTGTGTGGTTATTATTCCACTGCTCTGGCCATGTTTACATCCAAACCAAACTCAGGCCTGTTTTGACTTTTGAGTTATTTTCTAAAGTGCTCTGTAAATAGATTTGACTTGATAGTGCTTAACTTTTTGTTTCAATAGATTTAAATTTGTCATAAAATATGAGAACTGTTGAGGAAGAAAATATACTTTATTAGACAATTTAGATATTTGTTCAGTACTTGAAGTAAGTATACATATTGTTTTGAATGGTTTGTCGAAGAAAAATGTCGTTTCCATAAAAAACAAAAAACGTAATCAGCTTTACATAAGACTCAACAAGTTGTGTATGAGATTAATGCTCTATTAAAATGTCAGTGTAATAAATGTGACGCTAACCTAATAGACCTAATATCATGTGAAATGAAATAAAATTGGAAGTATTAAAAGCCACTCACAGCCGATGAGCATGACGCAGATGGAGAAGATCTTCTCGGAGTTGGTGTTGGGGGACACATTTCCGAAGCCCACACTGGTCAGACTGCTGAAGGTGAAGTACAGCGCGGTGACGTACTTGTCCTTGATGGAGGGTCCGGACGTGGGGTCACTGTAGTTGTACCTCTTGCCGATGGACACGCCCAGGTTGTCCAGCCAGCCGATCTTGTGCTCCAGGTACGGCTTCTCCACGTTTCCAATGGCGTACCAGATACAGGCCAGCCAGTGTGCGATCAGAGCGAAGATGCACATGAGCAGCATAAGCACGGCCGCTCCGTACTCGGAATAGCGGTCCAGCTTCCTGGCCACACGCACCAACCGCAGCAGGCGGGCTGTCTTCAGCAGACCAATCAGAGTGGTGGTCTGCACATGGACAACACAGCAGTTTAGAAACACAGGGTTTGGGACAATGAGGAGAAGCAGGTGCTGCAGTTTGTCATCTGCAGGTGGAGCCTCTCTTTATATATACTTCCAAGTGAGTACTGCTTTGGATCCTGTGATCTTAGAGGTTACATATGCTAGATTAAATATAATAAGTATAAAACTATGTAATATTGGGTTTCTCTTTCCACACACACTTAAATCGTGTTTTTTCCAACTTTCTATTCACTGCAAAAATATAACATAGGGTAATAAATGCAAGTATTACTATTTTTATTATTTTTAATCTTGAATGGACTGATGAAGTGCAGTTGCAATTTATTTCTCATTCCATCGTAGAATGAGATTTATTTTGTCTATCTTATGTCTATCAAGACATTGTTTTGTTGAGCGTCCCGTTGTGAAAACTTATTGTAGGACAGTGAACATATAAAGAATATGTGAACAACCTCCACACAACAAATGCAGGGCATGGATTCAAAGCACCATTGCATTAAACGTCCTTCGGCACCAATATGGCCCATTCTTTGCTATACACTTAAATCAGTGTGTGGCATCCCTGTATTATACAGTGAATAGATGGCAGAAAATAATGATAAGATGTTTGATAGGTGTGGATCTATTTCAAGTCCCTAAACAGATCCACTCTGGTTACTGACATTATCTGTGGCATAATAGATATATATCATGAAGCATTTCACATCCCTCACAAACCATATAATCTACTTGAATTCAAGGCTGATTTTTAAACCTAGTAAAATGACAGTTGTGTGAACCACGGACGCGCTGGCTTTAAAATATCCCAGTACACACGTGAGTCCGATCCCACCCGCGCCCATGATTACATAACAAACTTCAAGCCCTGTCCCATTCATTGCTTTTAGACTGAGATGGATTACATGGGTTTGTCAAGGGTCAAAACGCATTTTTGCATAAATGACTGTGAAATTAAAGAATCCTGGTGCGCACGAGACACCGAATCAATTTCCGATACATTAGGCGCTTTAATCAAGCAGGCTTTTAGGTTAAAACCGTCTTATTAAACTGCTAAATGAATGGGTCGGCTGAGGACCATCTGCCACTGTCTCCGCCGCGCTGTTTTTCTCAATGGAAACACACGCATGGCTGCAGCGGATTTATTAATGCCATATTTTTATGAATGTTGATTTCACTCATATTCATAGCGTTCATAGGGCAGCGAGATTAATCACAATCATATTTGAATATTTGCTAGCAAAAAGTACTATTATGTAATTTCCTTTGCATACAGTGACGTATCCTGTTAAACCAGCTAAACCTGTATTTTCAAAACTCAAATGCACGTGTAGCTTATTAATAATCTTTGCGCTCTCTCTGGTTTTATCCAATAAACATGTCGCTATTAAACAAATACAGTTAAAAATTCCAAAATATTAACAAAAACATGTTCAAGTTTGTGCGTTGTTTTGACAAATCCTGAAGGTTCTACCCTCTATCCATCAAAAAATTTAGCTTTAAAATAATACAAGAAGCCATTCATAAGAATGTATATCTTCAAAATGCCACTGCTCATGTTTCCCAGTTTTCGTTTAAGTTTTTGTTTGTAGATCCATGTGGTGTAATTCCTCTTTCTTGTGCATGGAACAAATTGGTCCAGATGATTATTATTTTGAAACCTGTTCTGCGATGTCTGTCCACAACCTTTCTAAATCTCTGATGCTTAAAAGAAGCGGTCGAAATCAATGCCACAATTTTCAAAGTAATACGCTTCTTTTGTGAGGTTATTCAAGATCAATGCAGACATTTCAAATTCAGATAACGATCCTCTGGTGTCACTGATACCTAGCAGGCCACAACAAGACATACTGCATACCGTGTCTTGCCCTTTGAACCAAATCCTACAATTACATCATATGCAATTGAAATGCCAGTCACAAATTAATGAGTGGTATTATTATTTGTTTTTTGTGTGTCTGACAGCAGTGACTCAGCAGTGCTCAGAGGAAAAGATGATTATGTTTGATAATCAGGAGATTTTCTGATGAAATGGAGTTCTTTCAGAGCTTGGAACAATCCAGCCACGGACAGACACACGGCAGAAGCAGCAGTGGCAGCAGCAGCAGCAGCAGCAGCAGCAGCAGCAGCAGCAGCAGCAGCAGAAGCAGACCTGGCACAGAACTGGACCCAAGCCTCCAGTCTCCTACACACGCACGCCGTTCTGTTGGCCTGTTCCTCACTGAAGCGCATCATTGATTGCCATTTGGTAAGCCATTAATCCGTGTAAATGGATTCAAGAATGAAATACCATTCAAAAAAAAAAAAAATACAGAAAGAAATCTAACATGCAATTTAAGTAATCCGTGCAGGGCAGAGACTGTAAGATTCAGGCTGTGAGTAGATGCCTCGGGCCACAAGTCTGGGCTTAGGGTCAGTGATAACAAGATGGCAGTGGTGGGCAGCAATGTGGTGTAAAGCTTCCTGGGAAAAATGACAAAGCATGAGAATGCACAGCGCGGCCAAGCCCAGGATAAGCAGCGGCTGATATAGATGTCACTTTGTCTCACAAACAGCACAAACGGCACAATAATCCTGATGTGCACAATACGTCTTACTGCAGCTGTTGCAGAAGGAGTTATGGCCCAAAACCACATGTCGATGTTGACGGATTCTGAAATTCTGAAGTATGTTTTACGGGTTATTAATACAAACTATATTAGACTTAGATTAGACTTGACAGACTTTATTTATCCACAAGGGAAATTGGGTTGTGATCATTCAAATTAATAATATGCAAGATCGCACACATTTTTTACAACTTCACGGTTTATGACGTGTAAGTAAGTAATCGTTATTTATATAGTGCCTTTCACTATATTTTTATAACTCAACACAACATCTGTCTCCAACTGGAAAGAAACAATAAAGCCCTCAAATTTGAACTACGTCCATGAGACCGGAACCCAAAACCATCTTGGAGGAAGCACTGGATGAGATCCATGGCTATTGGTCCTCCTATAGGCCTCCAATTCACAAGGACCAGCATTAAAATATTTTAGGGGAGTTTCTACTTTTCTTCAAGGTGTTCAAGTGTATTGATAACATCGGCCCACCACTGTAATCAAACAGCTCTCAAAAATACAGGTCAAACTTGGAACATTAGAATAGTTAAAAGTCCATTTACTTCAATTTGAAACTAATATATGGCAGACTCATTACATTAGATATATCAAGACTTTATTTGTATTAATGTTGAATATACATTTGGGCTTTTTACAAGCTCACAGAGGGTAAATAACAATAATTTGAAAATGGACTGTAAGCCATAACAAATAAAGTGTCATAAAGTGCCAAATGCCACATTGCATGTAGTCAATAGCACATAGTCTATACCATATATTAGTTTCACATTTTACATTGAATTACAGACATTTCAACAATATTCCAATTTTCCAGGTTTGCCCCTTTTCACAGGACCTTCTTTTGAACAATTTGAGAAGAAATACAGTTTTTTCAAGATGCCAAAAGTAGTGTGGCCTGTAAACAACTTTGTGGTATACAGCAAATATCCCATCCCATAGCTAGCACACCAACTATTCTAGTTGATTTAATTAAATATATGCAGAGCAATCTTAGGCTACTTTGTGTTATGATTCATATTTATCAATGTGCATTTGTGTTAACGAAAAGGAATCTGAATACTACATTTACCATGCCTGTCTGCTTTAAATATAACAGGATTCATTTGAGCAGATCTCTGAGATAAATTAGACACTAGAATGATCTAATATCATGTATAAACTGTGTGATATGATGATTCTGCTTGTTGTTGTGGTGGAAAGAGCTTTGCACAATTGAATGGAAAACATGTTTGTGCTTTTCTCTACAAAAGAGTAGTCCTCTCTGTCTGTGATGCTTCAGCAAATCGGATTGTTATGTCCTTCAGCGTTTTCCCATCACAGTCCCTCCAGATGGATACCTATGTCACGCTCAATACAGTTACAAACATATCAAACTGCCCTGAGCCAGGCTCTTTTAGGCAGCCGTGTTTTCAAATACATTTACCCACCCACTCCTCCTGCAATAAGTGAATGATGGGTACATTTAAACAACTGTAAAAACATACTCGAAGAAGCAATAATGACTAGACTAAACATACCATAAATTATGTGGCTGCTGAAAATTTAGGCTCCACACTTTTGGCTGTTCTCAGTTAAAGGTCCATTGATTTCTGATGGGGACTATTCCCTGAATTTTGCATGTAATAATAATAATAATAATTATGATGCATTGGTTTTATATAGCGCTTTTTTGGACAACCAGTGTGTGCCATCGGCCACTCCGACCACCACCAACCATTCACACACACACCAGACTCATTCAAGGCAATGTCGGTGAAGTGTCTTGGCTAAGCACACAAAAGCAGTTTGGCACTTTACAGCCGCAGCCTCCCCACTGTGGCACCTGGTGTTCCTGGAGGTTAAGTGTCTTGCCAAGGACACAACAACATATAAAACACGATATGATAAAATATGAGGTAATAATTGCTTGAATCGAGTGGTCTTGATCTTAATGTGAGTACATTCTGACAAGCCACTTCGACATATTTCTGTTCGACTGTTGCTTTATTTTCTCATTCCACGGGAGACATTTCTTGTATTGGCAAAATCCTGTTTTAAGGCAGTCAAAATGTGCTCAAATTAAGATTTGAGCACACTTTTTACTTATTTTTAATCACTTTTTGCAGTGAACTTGTCTCTACTGCTCAAACCCCTGACGTCTTACATTAAAGGCTTATAACCAAGACAAGTTAAGTCATTTTTTTGTCACTGGTGTAGATGCCATTATACCCCCCACCAGGAAAATATCAGAATACACATATGTCTTTTGTAACTACTGCATTCAAATACTTTTTCTCTATCCCTCTACTGTGTGTGAGAATTGTGCACAGCTTTCCATTGCCTACACATGAACACAAATAATTTTTTAGCAACGCAAGTCATGTTATCAACTGACTTCTTAAGAACATTTTAGCTACTTACTGTCTTCACAGCACACTTCAAAGCAATACGCCACCTTTTCATCTCACTAGTTTTTTAGAGGACTGTCAAAACCCTTTGCAAATCCCCAAGTAGCATCTCCTTTTCCCAAATCCTGCCTTCTTGATGAGTACCCTGGCACTCAAACAAAGAGAAACCAAGATGAAAACGCATTCCCAAACACACACGCACCTCATCTGATCCCGAGCCAAAGATGAGCAGGTCGAAGGGAATAGCCGCCACCATGTCGATAAGGAACCAGCCTTTGAAGTAGTGTATGGCTATCCTGGCCGGGTGACTGACCACTTCCTCGTTGGCGTTGACGTAGGTGGTCCTGAAGTTGATGAGGATGTCGATGATGAACATGATGTCCACCATGAGGTCCACCACATTGAGCGGGTTGCAGGAGTATCCACACTCGCGCCTCTTCTGCTCCTCCTGGTCGTTGAGGAGGAAGGCGGCGGAGTACGGGGTGAAGATGGCCGTGTAGATGACCAAGAGGAGGATGAGCCAGTCCCACACAGCTTTGAACGGGCTGTAGTGGAGGATGGTAAACTTGTCGATGCGCGGCGTCTGGAGCTTGTACTCGGGCAAGACGTCTGCGCCCAGCGATAAGACCTGGAGGAGAGGGAGAGGAGGGTGAGAAAGACAGGACTTTCACTCATCATGTTCATACCTGCTGTACATGTCTTCAGTGGTAGGGAAGGCCCGAGCACCCGGAGAATACCTATGCAGGCAAGGGAGAACATGCAAACTCCACTCCACCCCAGCCTTCTTGCTGTGAAGCATGAGCGAAAAACCCCAGGTGTAGAGTGATATAGATGTTACTGTTTTGAGATTTCAACAGTAAATTATCATTAGGAATGTTTCATGTGCATATTGTAAGAATGTGTCAAAAATGAGTAAAAGCTTCTGCACTATAGAAAGGAAGACTGTTTTATAGAGAAAGGTAATTAATAATAATTATTAATCCTTGTAGGGCAATTCATCCTTTGCATTTAACCCATCCTGATGCCACTAGGGCGTCCATCAGGAGCAGTGGTCACCGTAGTCCAGCGCCTGGGGGCCCATCTCCAGATGCTAATGCTCGGCCTGGTCAGGTCTACCGGAGCAGGAGGATTTAACTTTTTGAGCATGTTTTTAGTGGTAGGGGAAACCTATGCAGACATGGGGAGAACATGCAAACCCCACTCAGAAAGACCCTGTGGCAAAGTGGGAGTGCTATCTACTCAGCCACCTTGCCGCCCGTACTTGTAATTCATTCCACCGTTCTGCCACATTGCAAAATAAGTATGGAACCAGACTAAACTAGTATCAAGGGCTGGGCTCTGTTTTTGGACTATTTTGATAATTAGAAAAAAAAATCTAAATTTTGAATATTTCGTGCTAAAACATACTTCAGCAGTTCGTGAGTCTACTTTAGGCTTCTTTGTCAGACAGAGAGGCAGCTGAAGATAAATGTGTGACAATCAGTCAGAATATGCATATAAAAAGAAGGTGTTTAATGTTTAATAAGTCAGACACAGCTTTTCAAAGTGCTGTCTGTCCCAATTACAGAACTTAACGTCCAAAGAAGGTAAACTGCAGAAGCAAATTTTTCTCCATTTGTTTAGATACTGTGGAACATTATAGGCAAAAAAATGAACTAAAATGAGATAGGATAAGATTATAACATGACTTTATCATAGCAGCGAGTTCAAACACTCCCTCTTGAGAATACATATTTTAACAGAAAATCTTTCTATAAGAGGACGTGTCACTTGCAAATGCACTGACAAGCTTATACTAATCCTTTTACGTAGAGCATCCGGTCTATATTTCCTGCAGCATAAATGTGTTATTCTCAAAAGTTTGCTTAATGTAATATTCATATTTACATCGGGGAAGCATGTTTTAAAGGACGACGGTCTTTAAGGACATTTCTGACAGCTGCTAAAAGAAGCCGAGTCAGGCAGCATTAGACTTCGGGATGACACCGAGATATGTTCCTGGATCATTAATAATGTGAGGCTCAGCATTTATGAAGGGGACATTCCGTTCTAAATGAAGGAATGAAGAATGTTTGAGCGACTATATACGTTTGTACATATGGTTTCCTGGTTTTAGACATGTACCAATTTCATAGCAACCTCTATAATACAGTTTCAAAAATAAAACCTCCTTTAATAGGTAATAATAATAATAATAATAATAACAGTTGATAAGTTACTTTTGAATGTGCTGGAACCGGCAGCAAGTCCTACATATAGCTGCCGTTAAAGTGCTTTACAATTGTTATTTTTCTTTTACTTTTTTGTTTTTGTTTAATTTTTTCTGCCTCAGATGTTGCTGCAGTACAGTGTTCACTGTTTTGTACCGGTCCAGACCAGAGCAGAGAGGATTCATGATCCGACCCAAGCGGATCAGCTAAAAAAAAACTGGAGGAATGCTAACTTTTTGAAACATAATAATGAAGCATTCAGCGTTTTACTTTGGACTAGAGCTGAGAAAATGGTCTGAACCAAGTCGCTACTCCATCTCTGCTGCTCTGACCAAAAGTGCTGTTGCTTATTATTACCATTCTTAGCTTTTTAGAATAATGACTTAACATTGTTTATTTTTTATTTTATTTTTTTTGCTGCTACTGGACACCTGAATTTCTCCTACAGGTATCATTAAAGTATCATTCTAATGAAAGTAATAAATGATGATGTACTAACTTATGCAGTGAACTTGTGTGGTTTGGTTTCCTTCTCTGGGGGGGTACAGTAGCTGAGTGGTTAGCGTACCTCACAGCAAGAGTGCGGGTTCTGTGACTGGGCCTTTCTGTGTGGAGCATAGGCTGTAAATATGTGTGGAGTTTGCATGTGCTGCTAATACTCTTGCTATTGTAACGGGTGAATAAGAATGGAATAAGCTACAATGTTGTAACTCTACATGGTTATTACCGCATTTTTCCCAGCACAGTAGATTTTGATCACATGGTCATTCACAATTAAGTATACATTATTTGCGTCAAATGCTGCATAAAAAGCCCAATGGGCATGCATTGGGCTTTTTATGCAGCATTTGACGCAAATAATGTATACTTAATTGTGAATGTTGTGAATTGTTGATAACCTATTCCACCATATGTCTGTCTAACAGAAGTCTCCCTTATTTTTAGCGTCCTCCCAGCAGCCTGAAATATTTCGGAGGTGAATTGTTGACTGCACTCCCCACAGTGAATGAATGCGAGTTGACTGGTTGTCCGTCACCCTCTCTCCTGTCTTCTTTTTTGCATCCACTGAAAGTATAATAACGCCTCGGTTTTATACAAAGCGCTTTTATGACCACTCAAAGTTGCATTAAAGGGCAATCTTGGTTTAGTCATAGTGAGGAATGTGTCTTGCCCAAAGACACACATGTATTCTCCGTGCCATAATTCATGCTAAATTAACATAGTCCGGTGCTCAAATCTTTCTCGCTGAATAGATTAAAGCTCTACTGTCTCTACGGTCAAGTACTTCTGTGACATGTTAGTTCCATGTGAACCATCAGGGACCATTAGGGACTATGGTCAGGACTAAACATGAGTATTTATTTTTAACTGTCTCAAAGTCAGACAGAAACCGTTACTGATTTTTTAGGTTAGGGATCATCACCTTCATCTTGTCTTCTTCGTACGGTAGATTCAATAATTTGGTTCTTCTGTACAAAACAAATGTAAGATAGCAATGTTATTACTTTTGTTTCTGTCTTCCTCAGACTCTTCTAACATCTAGACAATAGAAGTTTAGGTGATTTTTTAAGAGTTTAAGGTTTTTTAAGAATTCGTACTAAATTGATAATACTACAGTTTTCCTTCTTTAATGTATTCTATGTATTTTTAGTTATACTATTTCGTTAAACACCTGGAATTACATTTTACAAATTATATTTTAACTTTGAATATTCCCCTTCCACAGCGTATACTTTAGCACTATAATATTCCCTGATTACTCCATTCAGGTCAAAGTATATTTTTCCCTGTACATATACACTCCAATCAAAAATGCACAAATGTAAAGAAGCTCTCCAGCTTGAATTTCACCCTGCGCTACAACTTGACCTTGAATGGTGCCTTTTTTTTTTTTTTTGCATCAATTATGAATACATCTCTGTACGTCTCAAGTCTTGTTTTAGGTATAATTCTCACTGGCAGATAAAAGGAACAGACGATGGTGAAGTCGGAGCTGGGACAGGGGGTGAGTTCCATTCATTTCAACACATCTTTGGAACATGAATTATAGATCCCCCTCGACTCGAAGAGGCTAACGCACAGTACTTCTCCATAGCCAGCCCAAACTACATGGGACTGGGTGGGAGGGCGTTTAATCCCAACGATGGTTGCTAGTTACTAATGGATGAGAAGTTGCTGCTGAAAGACGTGGGAAGCTAGGGTTTCTCCAATCCCTAGTTGCTTGTTGTTATAAAGTCCTCAGACGGGAGCTAACGGGGGGAAAGTGCATGATTCGATATGCAAGGCTTGACGTTGCAGACAGCAGGCATAAAGCAGGCATAAAGCAGGATGGAAATCTTACTGCTGTCATTGTCCATCTGGGTCTTGTCTGCGTGAGGAATGGAGCTAAACAATGGAGGAGCACCATATGCAGAGATACGTGCCTGGCTAAGCACAACTCTCCAAAATGGGGTTTTGCCTCAATAAATCTGTCTCTCTTTGACTCCTCTTTTTTGAAAATATGAGTAATTATACAATTTTTACTGTTAGCTTGGGATTTCTCTTCTTTGATGCCCCACGGTTACTTTTAGACTCGGAGATAACATTTTGAAACTTAAAGTTACTAAAAATTCAAGGCACAATGACAGTCTTTCATCAGCTACTTCAAAGCAAAACACATAATCCAGGATTCTTTCAAGGCTTGGAGATAGAAATACATGTTTTTGAATGTGATACAGCTTGCTTTTACTTCCACCATACACACATACACTATGTATTATTTACTTACTGCTTTAATTGAGACCGACTTTAAAATGTACTTTTGATTTGACAAGTGGAAGAATGCCGTTTTGTAGCAGTCCCTAAACCAGTGACATATGAACGCAAATACAAGACATTGCACTTTTCATTTAATCTAGATTCTGAAAAACAATGCAAAACTACAATCTACAGACAAAACTCGGAGAATCTGACTATTGTTCAAAAGTTCATTGACTTCAGTAATTCAATTTACTATGTGAAACTAAAATATGAGATATATCAAACCTGTATGTCTATATCACATGTGTCAAAGTCAAGGCCCGCGGGCCAAATCCGGCCCGCGAATGAATTTTACATGGCACGTTGCCTGCCAGTGACGCACTATTACGTCAATTGCGTTTTCCGCTATTTTCATGTTCCCAGATGTCTATTATATCTAATATGTTTGGGGATAAGCTTGAGAGCATATTGAATCGAGCCAGCAGGTGGCAGCAGCGCTCTCTGAATGGTTTGAAAACAGCTAGATGCACTTGTTGTGCCTCTTTTTTCTCAGCTTTTTGGTGATTTCAGTAAAACTTCCCTCTACTCAACTGGGGATTACAAGTTAGAAACAAAATTATTTTTGCTGATGAAAGTAGACAGTCTATTCTTTCAGAATCTGGTTTCGGATTTCAGATAGTCATAGTACACAATATTCTGTGGGTCTTGAAAAATCTATAAAAATCATCAGAAACTGCTGGCAATATGGGAGTACCTGTTCTGAAATAGGCTGGCAGGCAATGAGTTAATAAACATTGAACCAGTCCGGCCCTCGGCTCGCAGCAAATTTGTTTTTTTGGCCCTCTGATGTATTTGACTTTGACATGCCTGGATTGTAAAAGCAGTAGAAAACCCAAAATAAAGCTTTATAAATAGAAAAATGGACTGTAAGCCATAATCCAAAGCATAACATATAAAGGCTGGACATCTGCCACTTTGCATATAATGAGTCACATTGAAAGTTGAATTACAGAAATAAATGCACTTCAAAAAAATATTCAAAACCGTATTCAAGGTGGATTGGATATTGGATAAAACGTTCACAACCTAAACGTCATCCCTAAATAAACACAACTGTTAATGTTTGACCCATAATCCATTGCAGACACATTTCCTTTTCGATCACTCTCACCTGCGTGACTTTCTCAGTGACATTGTGAGTCCGCTCCTTGACCTTGGGCGCGATGATGGGTATTTCTGAGGTGGGCGAAGTGTGCGTCTTCTTCTCCGTGGTCTCGGTGAAGTTCAGTGCGATCAGGGGGATTTTGTGAATAGTGCTGTACTTGTTGATGTTAGAATCCGAGGTAGAACCGAGCAGACTTGACTTGACGTGATTGAAAGGCCCTGTCAGTCACAGCACAAAATCACACTATTATTATTATTATTGAAAGGAATATTCGCAAATAAAAGTCTTGGGTTTGATGGAATGACGCACGCACAATGTCAAAAGAACGTGGAAATAGCGAGGTCTTAAGTGCACTTAAAGCATGCATTAGTGAGAGACTTTTGTGGCAGGGATAAGTAAATAGAGCATTCTGAACTGTACCTGACTGGGAGACTTTAATTAGAGCTAATTAAATATTTAGGGGATTAGCTTGGAGATGCAGAGCGAGCCTTTTAAACAGACAAGTCGACCAGGAGGGTTTACATGCGCTCACCTGAGTGTGCTTTACCAGACTAGTGTCAATGAAACCTAGACCTCTAATCGGCCGAATGCTGTGTTACTCTTGGTGGTTCAAGGAGCAGTAAAAGAGCAAATACATTACAGGCTGTTATTATATTTAACATAAAATATGAAGAGTGCCGAAAAGTGTTTTTCGAGTACAATCTTCAACATGTTTTGTAATTGGCACAAACTTTGAAAGAATTTGCCCAAGAAGACGTGTAAGTTTAGTTCTATGGCCCTAAAATGGATCAGGCTTTTTACAAAACTATGTACTGTACTTGATAAAGAGCACATTTTTCAGATGGCACTTATCTGTTTTTGCATATTAACTGACCATATTTTCTTGCAATTTTCAAAAGGCTGATTTAATTATAAATGTAGTTATTTAAAATAAACGCACTTGTTAATATGCACTTTTAACATTGCTAGAAGAAGTGCAAGAAGAAGTGATCGCAACTTATAAATCATTCACGATTATTTTGTTTCCAAATTTATATGTGACCATTCAGTATACATGAAATACATTAACGTTTCTAATTGATACCGTAGGGGAACGATTTATAACTTGTATTATTTTAAATTGCAATACAGATCAGAGGAACATTATAGATGACTTAATGGCAGAACTTTAAACTTCTCATCTCAAATGAAGCAGCATAATATTTACTGAGGATTTTTGGATATCATTGTCAACAACTTGGTGAAAGCGAAAGGCTCCAGAAATAGAATGAATGCAGCTTTACAGACGCGTATTCGAATGCTGTGGCTGTAGCTCTTTCCAGCCAATGCTTGTACAGGTATCTGCTTTACTTTGTGACTGTATGTCAACATCTGAATGCCAAAGTATTGCTCCAAGTTCATACATATTTCATTATAGCCATTGCATCACCCATAGAAAGGTGCAGATGATGAATTTCTTGGTAGTGTTTGGAGCTGGCAGCTGTATTGTAGAGAAAAAACTGAAGACCACCACTTTTTACAGCTGTATCATAAAGCATGTGAATCCCAGTAAATCAATTTATGTGAAGAGCATGAATAAAACATTACATGGGCAGCCTGCAATACATTAATATACAACACTGAACACAATGACGCCCAGATATTGCAGGGATACATACATTTTACCAATTTGGCACCAGATAGCAAAAAAGCCATAATTTTGGTAAGTGGCGAAGATTTTTTTTGTATTAACAACATCTGCAATTTTGACATTTTTATACTGATTTGCCACAAAAAGCACAATCACTATGACGTCCACTGCGGGCACTTGTGCATGTGATGTAACCATGCAGTCATGTGACCAAGTCATTTTCATGCACTAATTTTCCAAAGCAACAGCCTATCTACTTCAATCATGCACATGCTGCTTTCCACACACACAAACCCAGGAACAGGCACAAGTACACACACACACACACACACACATACATACACAAAAACACACACACACACAGGATTGAAGCGTTCTTAATAATTAAGAACAGTCAGGCCACTCGGGCCGTGCACACAGAGTGGACCTGTGACGAGGCTGATTGCTAGGCTCTAATAACATGCTTAAAAGCAAAGATGAAAACGTTACCTCTGACATTGTCTAAAAAGAAGAAAAAGAAAAACAATAAAGTCAATAAAATGTTTTCCCCTGTAGACTTTGTTAGTATTAGATAGCAATATGGCCTACGTGCAGGACTGTACAAGGACTCTACAAGGACTCCATGTTATGACTATGATTTGACTGTCTCTTTGTGACACGTATGTCTTTCGATGTGTGACGTGACAATGACTATATAAACTGTGTACTGCCTTTATTCTGTCTGAGGGAAAGAAACAGAGTAAACCAGTGGAACTTGAGAGAAACTTAAATAAACTTCCAGAGTTTGGCGCACCACGATCCGTCTCTGTCTGCTAAATCCTAACAGATTTGGTGGAGAATGCGCGGCTCGGTGTGCGCCATTCTCTGGATTGTTTTGAGGGAGTTTCGTTTGTTTCTTTTCCTCGGCGTGAGAGACCGGCATGCTGTGTCTGGGAGCGGAGATTCCAGCAGGCTGGAAGAGCTGTTTCTGGATGCTTCTTGTCGCTTCTGTCACTTTTGTTTTTTAAATTGAATTATCCGACGCGGAAAAGAGGTTGGCAGACCTCTCGGACAGTCCTTGGTACCTGTTTGACAAGAATAAGGTAAGCAGACACCTTTTTATATGTAAAGTCTGTATAATTGGATACTAGCTAAATTTTGGTCTGTTTTTGGGGTCTGTCAAACTCTCTAAATTGTATTTGAGAAGAAGTCTCGGGGTTAGAGTCCCTTTGAGAAGAAGTCTCGGGGTTAGAGTCCCTTTGAGAAGAAGTCTCGGGGTTAGAGTCCCTTTGAGAAGAAGTCTCGGGGTTAGAGTCCCTTTGAGAAAAAGTCTCGGGGTTAGAGTCCCTTTGAGAAGAAGTCTCGGGGTTAGAGTCCCTTTGAGAAGAAGTCTCGGGGTTAGAGTCCCTTTGAGAAGAAGTCTCGGGGTTAGAGTCCCTTTGAGAAAAAGTCTCGGGGTTAGAGTCCCTTTGAGAAGAAGCTTCAGGGTTAGAGTCCCTTTGAGAAAACGTTTTCGGGGTTAGAGTCCCTTTGAGAAAAGATAAAGTGTAGGATCCTTAGTGAAACCATGGTGTAAAATTAAAAGCAATAAAAAGGGAAATGTGTTAAAGAGGCCTTTGTTACAAAAGCGTTGAAATTGACGAATTTCAGGCTGATAAATGACAAAAGTAAAGAAGCAACAATATTTCAGTGATCACGGTTTAAATTACATACAGAAAAAGGGAGTTTTTGTTTTTGGAGTGAACAGAGTTCACCTGAGAATGCAGAGTTTTATCTAAAGTTGAGCTATGAGAGCTTTCGTGAGTTATTTACATTTTTTGGCGAGTTTTATCTACAGTTAAGCTATGAGAGGGTTGTATCCAACAGTTGTTTTTGTTTTTTAGAAAGAGATTTAGAGTTTAAATTAGTTTGCTACCTCGATAAAATAGAAGCGTAAACGTTAAAGACAAGAGTGCCTTTTGTTACTAGTGTGGAAAGTGATCACTTCTAGACTTGGATGACAAAAGTTTAAAGAACAACATCAGTTATATTCGCTTAACAAAGTAATCTTGAAAGTTATTCTTCTTTCTGTTTTAGCATTTTTGCTAAAACACTACTTTCTGCCTGTGTGTGCGTCGCACTATCTTGCTGCCGTTGTCAGGGAAACGGCCCCCTCCTTTGCTGCTCTGGCTCTGAATCAGAACAGAGCTACTGCTTTTAGGATTTTGGCTTTTCATAGTTGTTATTCCGTTAAATTTGCAAAATTTGCCATTGAACATTGTGTTAGACACAGTTAAACGTTTTTAAACACCATTTAGTGAATAGAAGTTTTGAATATTATATGTTTTTTGAAACCCAAATATTAGTGCTAAAAGCTGTGCAATTCTTTTAGACCTAACATATTTCTAGATTCCATTCTTTTAAATCTGCTGCTTATTTTGTGAGTCCATTATTGTATCTCTGATATATTTCATAGCTGTTTGTGAGAATTTTTTTATGTTTTTATTTTAGTTACAAAAGCCGTTTTTCAAACATTTAAATTAGAATCTGTGTTAAAAGTGATTATTGATTATAGACTTCGTCTAAAAAGAAAGAGGGAATTAGCATTAGCTGTAGAAGTATTATATTATTAAGTTAAACTACCCAATTCACATTCAAGTGGTGACTTTTGTTTTTGTTTTGACTACACGCCTGACCTACTGCTCCTCCTGCTGATGCCACAGCAGAGGAGACTGGCTCTAAAATGTGCAAGATAATTAAACACACAGTACAAAAGTACATAATACATATTTTAAAGTTTAAAAGGTTTTTTTTTAGATTTGAGTCTTGTTTTTTTTATATTAAGAGTTTCTGGTCTTAAAAATGTCATCATTAGTAAGATAATAAGTAATCTTTATTTACATAGCGCATGTGGGAAAACCCAGAGCGCTCCAAAATTGTTTTGACTTTAGGGAGAAAAACAATCTCATTCGCATACTGATATCTATTGTTTTTTTAAATTGGCCGTCTCAAGGATTGTTTTTCAGACTCTGCCACACTGTACGAGAGGTCACTGCTGGACACTGGACACCAAAGCCCACCCAGCCACAGGTCACAGATCAAAGAGCAAAGGGCAACAATGCCACCTCCTTGCCCCTCCCCCCACTACAGAAGTAAGTGGGAGAGAGACCGGGGCCATGAAAGTGGAGGTATCTGGAGACGTGATGGGTGGAGCATCAGGTAGAGACCTAGAGGCAGTTGAAAGTGTGTCTACGTGGTTTACATCACCACAGTGTGACCTTTGAGACCTACAGGTGGTTCGAGGAGTCTGGAGACACAACCCCAAAATTCACACCCTACACACATACACACACACACACATACACACACACATTCACATTTACATATAGATACATGAAAAAGCAGAACATGAGAAAAAAGCATTTTAAAAGTTTACTCCAATGTAAACAAATATTTTTAATTGTCTATCACTTGAATCTTTACTTGAATCAGTATTTTTTGAGACCAGAAATGTTCATTTGAATTCTATATTGTCATGGACTTAATTGACCTCTGTCCTGACACTTTTGATTTGTTGATTTTGTACTGTGTGAAGTAATTACATTGATTAGGATTAGATCTGATAAAAACACAAATTAGAGAAGTAAACTGCGCTTGCTTTTGTCTAAGGGACATCAGCAACAGCATGAATAGAAATTGTGTTAAAGTAGAATCAAAGTGACTTAACCATAGAGAGTAACTATTGCATAACAAGCTGTGTACAGGAACTGAGACACTGCACCATTGACCAGAAGTGCATCGCAAATGACCTGATGTGCTTCAAGTGAAAAGACTGTATTTGGAGATCCTGATGTGCATCTGGAGAGACCAAAACCATGGCTTGGACCCTACTGATGTCCAAGATGACATCTCTCGAAATATGACCTGACCTGATGACGACTGAGACTCACCCTCAGGGGACCCTGAGGACCTGAGGACCTGAGGACCTGAGAGAGAAAAACTGGGGAGTGATGTTTATATTTTTGAAATCATACATTGATGAGTGCTAAATGAGACAGATACTCATGATTCTTCTTTTGTTTTTGTTTGTGCCTAGCTTCTGGACATCTGATGATCTATTGGACACAGCCATTTGCAGAACAAGAACCAGCCAATGAAAACGTCTATTGCCGATGCTATTGCTACAACCAGAACCTGTGACCAAATGCAATATACATGTTAAGTATTCAGACATCTGACAGACAAAAACTTTGACTTTTTAGTCTGGGAGACTGAGCAACTGTTAAAATGTTTTAAAATGATAAAGTATGAGTATTGTAGCGTTTTAGTAGATGTTAAATAGTAGTAAAAAAGTAGAATTTGACTTCCTTTGTTGTCCATAAACACATTTCCACATAAGAGTTAAAATAGTACCATACAATGTTATCTTTGATAGATCAGCTATAATATTAGAATCAGAGTTATGTTACAGCCATTAAAAGTGACAGAAGTCAGAGAGTAGAAATATGCCTTGACTCAAGCTGCAACCAAGCTTTGGAGTCACAATAGTGTAGAAATAGGAATAGGTAAATGCATCAACCATAGATTCTTTCAAAAATAGAGATTAGAGAATCAAACACCATTGTGGAATAACTGACCCCAAACCTGCTAAAATAGATTAGCTCTTGTAAGGATAACACTAATTTGATTAAAGATGTACATTCATCCCAAACTGCCTGAGAGGAGGAAGTGACAGCACTTCCTGGTTCAACAAATGTATTTGGAAAACTGACCGCCATAATAATGTTCATATTAACCATTTGTCTTTCTGTGTTCACAGTTTTATTCCTGAGAATGAGAATAGACATGGAGCAAAATCCCACTAATAATAAGCCACTGATAATGAAAGTAAACCACAGAGAGATTTATTAGATTAAAATGTATGTTTAAGAATATGGCTCAATATAAGCAAATATGCAAACATATTTGTGAATAGATTAGAAAAGTTTTAAACTATAGTGATAGTAAAAGTAAAGTACACAGTCTAAGATTAAATAGTGAAAATAGTACAGTGAAATAAGTGAAGTGTAAACAATTAGCATTAGAATAAAAGTATAGAGTAATAAAAGTTAAATTAGCTTCTAATTTGAGACTCAGCTCGTTTTTGTCTGTGTTTTGACTGAATCTGCTGAGTTCTTGTGTGTCCAATAGTGTTTGTTTGTTTTTATTTTTGATTTGTTTTTTGTTTGTTTATTTACTTTATTTTTGTTTTTTGTTTTTTCCCAGGATAGAGGATAAAATCCACTGATATTGATTTGATGATTATGAGTTTTTTTTTTTTTTTTTTTTTTTTTTTCTTTTTCCACTTTATTGATTGATTAAATTGAGTGATCACATGTGATTATGTGATCAAAGGGGAGGGTGTTAGTATTAGATAGCAATATGGCCTACGTGCAGGACTGTACAAGGACTCTACAAGGACTCCATGTTATGACTATGATTTGACTGTCTCTTTGTGACACGTATGTCTTTCGATGTGTGACGTGACAATGACTATATAAACTGTGTACTGCCTTTATTCTGTCTGAGAGAAAGAAACAGAGTAAACCAGTGGAACTTGAGAGAAACTTAAATAAACTTCCAGAGTTTGGCACACCACGATCCGTCTCTGTCTGCTTAATCCTGACAACTTAAAGGTGGCTGCTTGTGCAGTCTTTTACTTTCTTATGGCTGTTTTTGCAATAAAATTCATTGGTATGTTCCAGCTAACAAAAGTACAATTCAAATAAGGTTTATTTATTTTTTTGATTATTAAGATTTCAACTAAAACCAAACATGAAGCATCCTCAGATATGTTTCATGCAGATGGCAAAGTCTCCATCATAAAATCTATATTTCATGCGTATAATTGAACTGCTGCAGCCGCAGCTGCCCTCAGAGATGATGTAAGCGAAGCCCCACTAACTACTCTCTGATTCTCACGCATTCAGTATTTTTCCGAATATTAAATATAAAACTTGAGCGAAAAGAAACAGAGATATTGTATTATTATAAAGTGATAATTGTCCATTCATTGCTAGCATGAATGGACAATATATTTGGATGTTATATTCAAGATTAATGTGAAACGATAAGATGAAAAGCCGGAATACAGACTTTGACAATTGTTCAAGATCAGACAAACAGCACAGATAAGATGTGGACATCAGCTGCTTCCTGCCTAAAGTAAAGTGACTTTTAAAAGGATCAGAATATTTTTAGTTTATGCTCGTCAAAACCATGCCATCTTATCATGAAACGTGACTAAGATGTTTCCCATGAGCAGAAAGCTGGGTATCGTCTCCACAGAAATGTCATATTTACTGCAACTAATGAAGCAGTTTCCACAACAGACATGTGAGGATCAACTCTCCCTTTTTCACAATTAAAATGATTTTTAAAACTGGATGTTTTTTTTTCATTGCATAAAAATGAAAATGAAATGAAAGCCCAATTAGATTTGTTTATTTTATGTGTATACTTGCTGATCCTCTGCATAAGTGACTGTAGCTTTTGTTACAATATCATAGATACCTTCAATTCAATGTATTTTGTAAAGCCCTGAATCACAACAGTAGTCATCTTAGAGGATTAGTCATCTCAGATCGTAGCAGCTTAAATCGTCTGAAATAAGTCTGGTCACTTCTCCCAAAGTCAGGGAGAAGCACATTGGGGCCAATGTCTCGTAGTGTGATCCAGGTTTTAGTCATTGGTTTCATTATTCATCAGGGAGTAAATGCTTACAAGATCACTTTACGTTACTCCGTCTCTCTTCACAAAATCAACCTTATTTATGTGTGCTCTTCATGTATCACAATACTGATAAAACAATTAGCAGAAGTGAGAAAACATAATGGACCCATACATACGCTAACGTGATCCCTCGTTGAATAAACAAAAAACAAACAAGCAAAAAACAAAAGTTATTGATGGTAATGAAATGCTTATGCTGGTTAATGTTGCATGAGGTTGACAGGTCTAAATGAAGTCTGCACTGGAGACAAAGCAGAGACATGTGATACCTGGTAGTGAGGTGAAGTAAGGATCAAGGCTTGGCTCACAGCCCCAGACTGCTCAATGCTCGTTTGTGGACTTGACAAGATTAATAAGATAAATATGCTTAATATTGGATGAGGGATAAGGTAGTATGAGTTCATACAACAGTCTTATGTGATGGAGGGCCTGCCTCTTGCTTCTGTCCATGTCTTTACTTGAATGTTAAAAGAAAATACATATCAATCTTCATAAGAAACAAAGATTTATTTATTATTATTTATTTCTTTAAAAACTACTCTATTCTACACGGCTCAATCTGGTGGTGTTCCATTTTATTATGAGTGAATGGAAAAGATAAGACCTTTGACAATTAGCGACAGTAAACATTTCTTGGCTGACTTAAATAACACAATGCTTTGAACAATGTTTTCTTTGTCAATGCAGTTGCACAGAATGTATGATTTAGGATTTTTTTTGGAAAACAACTCCCATGCTTTTATGTGTTGAAAAGTAAATAACTAAATTAAACCAATTTCCTTCTTGTTAAAATAAGATAGTTGAGTTTAATAGTTACTATATTATAGCTGTGCATCACTTGAATATCAGATAGATGTTGGGTCCTAGTTTAATGGAAACAACTGGAATAGGCCTGTGCACTTTTTAGAAACCAGGTCCCACCATATTTGGCATTCTTCTTACGGTAAGCTCAAAACTAATTCTATATCATACATTTTCCAAAGCCTACATGATGAAAAAATCAGGTCTTTGAGATACTAAGTCATAAAATGAAAACAAACTCTAGACTAGATAACTACTTGTCTGTTTGCATAGCCTTTTAGATCCCAGTCTGCACTCACACATGCCCATGATGACTGGACCATAGCTCATTCCATCTGTTCTGACCCCTGCCTCACCCCAACTCAACGTGTTTCAGTTACCACAAAAACTGGGCTCAAGACAATATATAGAAGAATAATTTTTAAAGTCTGTTTAAGTTCAATAGCATTGGGTTACCTCTGTAGTTCTGGACAAGGTTAAAATTAATTTATCAAAGCATTACTGCTGAGCCGCTACCACTATCTGTGAAAACAGAGTAGGGAATATAATCTCTTCTCCACTGGGTTCAGAACAGAGAACAACCATTTCTACGCTTTATGTAAATCTCAAAATAGTTGAACCACTAAAACAATGCACAGATAGGGACCAACATGTGTAAGTGTGGTCTGTGGGATTTCACCATCCATCTCAAGAATGGACCTCTCAGTTTACCTAATTTAATTTACAAATAATAACATACACGTTTTCAACTCAGCAGACTCCGCCTTAATGCAGTAGCCACCCTATATCAATATTCAATTTTGGACTATCATGTTTTCATCTCCCCAGACTACACCTTGGATATATTCCTGCACACAGATACCCTCAGGGCGTACCTTCACTGGTGTGCCTGTCTCTCAGCACTGCGTTCTTGGAGTTGCAGCTGTAGCCTTCGATCTCGTGCACGGACGACGCACGCCTGATGCTGCTGATACTGCCGCGGGGGAACGTGTTGGACAAAGACGTGAAGGACTGATGCCCCTCCACCTGGTATAACTTATCCCACGGAAGCTTGGGGGAGGAGTGGTCGACTGGCTCAGGCCCCGTGAGGCTGGCCTGGGACGAGTGGTGGCTGGAGCTGATGAGGGCGTGGGTGTCGTTGGCCTCCAGGGGGCTGCAGATGCTCTTGGTCGGGGAGGGGAAGCTCTGCAGGGCCAGGCAGTCGTCGGCATCCTTGGGCGAGTCCACCACCATCACGGCGTCCGGGTCCTCCTGCGGCAGCGACTGCTTGTTGGTGTTCATGAGGCTCAAGGCAGCCTGTCTGAAGCGGAAAAATCGGCTTCTCCCTGGACAAAGTGATAAAAACATGACGGTTACTGAGCAAATGTGTATTTATATGTATTAGTATTTATTTTGGATCTTAAACGTCATATTGAGGAGCAGTAGTAGCAGTAACAGGTTAAAAACCATTTAATAATGACAACTGTATATATACAGTTTATTGCATTCATATTATCAAATGAAGACAAGGCAGCAGGGCACGTAAGATCTGTGATGTAAACACGTTGCGTAACGCACAAAGAATCTGCGCAAAATGGAGCAAACAAGGCAAAATCCCGCAAATAACTACAGTATACAAAGCATCGAGGCAGCGGAAATTAATCGACTATTTTTAATAATCAAATTATTCTACTAGAAATATGCTGGTACTTTACTTTTACCAGTCGGTTGTAGCTAGTGTCGTGTTGGGGCAGCAGTCTGACCTTGAGAGACAGTAGCCGGCTCGACAGACTGATCAGGAAATGTGTTTCTATGATGGGGACAATTGTAGGAGCTGTGCTAGAGAGAAGGATGAGGGCTCTAATGCAGGGCATTCTGGGAAACTCCAGACACCCTCTGCATGACACTATGGTCGCTCAGGCTTATATCAGTGCGCTGCCTAACGGAACGTTTTAAGAGATCCTTTGTTCCTTCAGATGTGAAACTGTACAACACACCTGGATGAGTTAAAAATATGCACTATTGTTAGGAAGTTAGCTAGAAATGTTAGTTAGTTAGACATGTTTATAATGGATGTACTTATATGGATTTGTTTTCTGCTGCTGGACACCTGAATTTCTCATATAGGGATCAATAAAGTATCCATCTATCTACCTATCTATCTACAGTATATCCACACACATGTTTTATATTTAAACATAGTCCTGGCTTAGCTGTAACATTCTAGTATGAATGGTGTTTAGGGAAATCTTCTTTTGTACCGTAATATGCCAAAAAAAAAAGAATTCCTCGCTTAATTGGTCTCAATGGGACACACTAAATCATACTTTGGTTAAAAAAAACTCAGAAATTCTTATGCAATTTTACAGGAACAAATGCAATACTTGTAGCCTGCACTGTGTCCCAACAAATGTCCCATCCATGCAGGTTCCAAGAGTGATTACTACAGAAAGTATTTACATGATTACACGTCAAAAAACAAGATGAAAATCAGAAGTAGACTTGACGTGACTTGCAGTATTTGAATCAAACAGGCCTAGGTAAAAACAACTTTAATCTGAAGACTTGAGCGAAATGGGAGCAGGTTTGTCCAGTTCAGAGACTTCATATTTCAAGAGCAATTTGCAAAACAATTCACACAAAGTACCAAGTGCCTTGTTGTGGACATTGCTGACGTGAAAATCAAGATTGAAACTGCATTGTGTGCCTCAAAGGCTTCACTTGTTTTACCTCCATTCATTTGTCAACTCTAAATCCACTTGGTTTGTTCATTCCCCGTTTTACTCAGGCACCATCTGTTTACATGCTCCAAAAACAAGAGTGTCAGGTGCAACTAACAATTTACTGGAGGATGAAAAATAGCACATCAAATCTCACACACCTAACGTTTACAGAGTTTTCTTTGTGGGGTAAGTTTTAATATGTATTATATTTAATCTTTGAATTGGGCTGCACATTTATAGACTGAAGTTTCTGAGAGCATGTTCACTGGGGCCCATTACCTGGTGCAGTGGGTGAATTTATTAACATAAAAAAATGAATCAATAAACTTGTAATCTACTTAGAGATGATGATGCATTTATTGTTTGCTCAATAACACATTTTCATAATCAAAAGCAAAACCAATAATATGTTATAAAAATGATGTGCACGGCCGACAGATAGGCCAAGGTCAGTTGAGTCCACAAAGGATCATTCTTTCATTTTTATTTTTTGAGCAATAAACGCAGTGATTCATGCACGATGGTGTAATGTAACCTCCTGTATTCAAGTGGACAGAGCTCTGACAATCCCATCCCCATAATCACGTCACCAGTACTCACCCACTGTGACCTTTTGGATATGAAAGCTTCTTTGTTGTTTCATATCAATATTTAAAGTATAAAACTGTTACGTTATGGAGGATATTCATAGTGATCTACAGCTGCCATACAAAACTACTGTCTCATTAATATTTTACTAATTCTGACAAACTATATCTGAGGGTTTTACCATTTGTTCTGTGACATTGATGATGAATAGAGGTCTAGAGATTTTCCTAATTTATCAAAACCGTAAAGCTCTCTTCATAACACCATTACATAAGCACAGAGCAAGTAGTGCAAGAGAGGTGTAGGGTCGGAGAGTGTTTGGGCCTGTGTGTTGTCAGAGTGTGTGTGTTTTGTATTGCCTGTCTTAAACCATTGGAGGTATTGTATTAGTGTTTTAACTGTACAGCTGTATGTTTGAGAATTCTACTGCATGATATTGTTAAAACAGTGTATGTGTGATGGTGGTTAGAATCCAATAAGCATCTGCTTCATCCAACCCCTTTTTGAACCAGATAAGTTATTGCACCTATTGTATCTGTTGTATTGATATATGTAAAAATATGCATTGTGCAGGTTTGAAATAAATAAATAAATCGTCAAATAAATCACATCAAAACACAAATTAATAAGAGCTATAATGCGACGTGTCCATTAACAATAGAGCAGTGACCCCGGGTTCACTTGTGACACTCCAGGCTTGATACGGCAGCCTTCTTACATAATGTCATCGCCATCTGTTTGCACAGGCAGGTCAAACGTGCTGATGTTACAACCCCACGGCTGTTATAGAGCCCTAACACTCAACAAGTTTGTGGCAGAGGAGGCTGGTGACCTCCAGGGGCAGGCAGCGTAGCCGTGGAGACGTGGAGAGGACAGGGGCACCGGTAATGAAGGAGGTGATACTGAGAACATGCATGCCTGGTAATATACTGATTCATGTTTGCCAAGTATATTCTGTTTGTCCATACCCATAAGAGAGGTTAATTACAATAAGAATTAAAATGGCTGTTTGAAGGGTTGCAATCAGCAAGTTGCAAAAGCTGTAATTATTTCCATGATTCCCTGCAGAGAGCAAAATGGTCGGTTTATAAAAGAGACTATTAAACATGAAACTATTTTCTATTTTATTTTGTTTTGTCTAGATAAGATTTGCATGCCCATAAAGCCCTACAACACAGTCTGGTGCTTTCATATTTATTCTGATTTACTTGTGTCTTATGAACCTGTGTGCAGTCTCAGATCCTCGGACATTTTGCCTGGAGGTGGGGGAAGCGGCTTTCTTCCTTTTGCTGTGAAGGGAACGCTAATAATGTTAAATGTGCTCCGGCCCTGAGCTCAGCTAAAGACTCACTTGTTTAGATGTTCTTATCCTCAGGCAGTGCCCTCATCTCTTCATTTGTTTTGGTTGTTTGTCTTTGTAAAGCCCATTTCAGTCCTGCATGTGTAAAAATAAATACATACTGGTACAGCCTATTAATGATCAATCCTAACGCTATCGCTTTAAGGCTAAAGCTTATCCAATTTTTTATAATTATAACCAGTTCTTTAATGAAGACATTTTATGCTAATTTGACTTGTTTATTGAGCGTCTAACCATGATAAATAATGGTTCCTCATTATTGTTTTTAGATCCATCCACGCAACTATCTGGAACTTCTATCACAAACATGTAACCACCCCTTCTCAGGCTTTAAAACAAAAATGTTGTCCATAATTTAGTTTTGGAAATTGCACAGGTGAAAGTATATTTGCAATTGCATTTCTTCCTTTTTGCACAATCTTGAGTGTTCTATCCATGCCGATGTGACATGTACATTTCTCCTTTGTGAGATAAGTAAAGCATATCTTATCTTATCTTATCTTATGTCTGTGTTTGAAGCTGGTAACTTTCAAATGTGGAAAAAAAAAAAACCCTTGTGCTCTGGCGGTAGCACAAGGAAAGGGCAGACAGGTATATTTTCCACAGAAGATATTGTTTCACATTCTGAAAAATGCGATGGCAAAGCAAACAGTGTCATTTTAATTTTAATAACCAACAATAATGCATACCACTTCTTTTAAAGTAAGGTTTGCATACAGCCAAAACAACTACATATGTTTTTTACCCCATTAAATCTCCTATCGCTCTGAAATGCTAGAAATAGCTATTATTTTGGTTGCGGTCATCTCAGCTGTGTCTGTCAGCTCCATCCTCCCAACAACTCTAGACACAGGGGAATCATTTTCTAACAGAGCCATCTCAGGCACTGACAGTTGCCATGGAAACCAGATAATCAATACCATATGTGTGCAAACCCATAAAGCATGAGTGCCTTGAAGAAATATTGCTTTTTGTGAGTGACATACATCAATACAAATTCATACTTGAGTTGAAATTACATTCAATTAGAATAAGATGTGACATTTGTGTTCTTCTAGAAGTTGTGTTTGGAGTTATTCATGCATATAGAGTATCTCGTGTTTCTGTGGAAATCCAATTACCTACAGAAATACAAATACAAGATACTCATGTAAAATAAAACATGCTAATTCTAATACATTCCAAAGAACTCCTGGAGGTTGCATTGTTATTTCATGCAAAGTAGAATTGTTTCCCATTCGACTGAAATGGCCTTGTGTTTCCAGTTGCAAATACTTGTGTTATGCTTGAAATAACTCGCCTTGAGCTCGTACGAACTTAGACAAGAAATTCTAATATGATAGAGAATAACCAAGAACGTTTTCATTTGACTGTTCAAGCTGTAAATGTAGAATATTTGATTATGACATCTGTACTGTTGAAGAGGATCAGTTTGAATATTAGTGCTTTTCATTTGTTTACATGTTTTTGTGGCAGTGTGCAGGGACTTTTTATACCACTCTGACATTGACTGTCATGGTGTGGATTTTACTTTTGACTCCAGTTCAATGGTTTTGTTTTAGCTTGACTTCCTGTCCTGATCCCTTCTTGATTGTCTGTCCCGGCCTCATGTGTTTCTCTCTGTCTCTATATGTACCTGTGCTCCTCTCGCCTTGTTGCTGGTCCATTTTCTTTA